TATTTGTCTTTATTTAGTATATTTCTAAATTTGTTAATACTAGTCTATATAGAGAATATTTGTAAATATAAGTCTATATTTAGTGTATTAGTTATGTGTTAATATAAGGTCATATCAAGTATATTAGCATATTAGTAAAAAGTCTATATTTATTTATTTGTAAATAGTAGTCTGTATATTAAATGTTTTTGTCAAGATCATTCTGTATTTAGTATATTTGTAAATATAAGTATATATTTAATATATTTTCTGTATTTGTAAATGTTAGTCTACATATTAAGTATATTTGGAAATATTGCTCTAAGCCTAGTGTAAAAGTATTTTTGTAAATATCAGTCTGTATGTTTGGTATATTTAGTATAGATGTAAATAAGTCTTTATATTTGGTATGTATGTATATTAGTAAATATAATTATGTTAATTCAGTAAATTTGTAAGTATTTGTGTGTATATTTATATTTAGTATAGTTGTTAATATAAGTCTATATATGTTGTACATTTCTATATTTGTAAATGTTAGTCTTTTTTTTGGTATATCAGTATATTTGTTAATATTAGTCTGTATTTAGTTTAATAGTAAATTTATTAATATTAGTCTGTATATTTTTCTGCTTTTTTTAAATTAATTTTAAGTCTCTGCAGCTATTGAAGGAGAATTCTGTTTTAATCAGAGATTTAATTTTACCTTTTAAAATACAGACTGGAGCTTTATTTAGCTTTACTATTCATTTCTGCACAGCTGATACAAATCAAACAAAAATTATAATGAAATAGGAAAATATGCACTCAATTACAACTGAAATCGATGTATTAACCCATCATTGAATATTTACATTACAGTGAGTGTTAAAAAAGTGATCAAAATAAAATTGACTAAAATGGATGAAGTAATAAGCTTATTATTTTCAGACTGATCAATGAATCTATTAAGACCAGAGATTGTTTGGATTGAATTTGATGTTCAACATTATAACCTAAAAATATCAGTAACATTGAAACAAAGACTGTCAAATATTTATGATCCAGTTTTTGAATTTAGATTTTCCAAAGTTTCCATTAAAAGTCATTTTATCTCACCAAAAGCTTACTAATCAGGAAAGTTTTTTTTACCTTCTCACAATTTAAAAGACAAAAACAAATCAATTTCAAGACGAGATTCAGATAAAAATGAAATCATTAATTCACTGCAATAATAATCTTATTGTGAATATTTTCAACTATCAAAAGTCTAAATCCTTTACTGGAAAATGAAACTTAATAAACACCATTGTTTGTCTTTGTGTAATAATACATAATTATACTGTAATTACATTGATGCTTTACTCCTTAAAAGGTGGTTTTACTCTCTCAGCCCTGAGACAGAGGTCGACTCATTTACAGTTATGCAAACTGAAAAACTAAATTAATAATCAGTCATAAAAAAGTCTGATCTTTATAGATCAAAGCTGTTTCATGTTTGCAGGTCCTCTTTTAATCTGGGCAATAATTTCTCTCCACAGACTGAATTATTATAGTATTTATTTAGCTGTAAAACAATACAATCCTTTGAAATTAAAATAAAACAACATTCTATATATATATATATATATATATATATATATATATACACACTCACTACAGGACAAAAGTTTGGAAGCAAGGCCATTACAGGCCAAACAGTTGGGACTAACTTCAAGTTTTTACTCACAATGCTTTTTTAAAATCCAGCATGAGTTTTTTTTGTATTTTGGGATGTATTTACTCTATGATCAGATGTTGCTTTCATGGAAATGCACCATTTTACTCCATTTACCCTTAGATATACATTGATGTTAACAGACCATTGCTAAATATATGTCAGCAAAAGATAATAAGGGCTTAGTTTTAGGGTTGAAAACATTTGCAAGAGTCACAACTTCAGTGCAAAACCAAAAAAACAAATCACAGTTGGATTATTCACTTCAACTTTTTGGCTTTTGACAGTCTGCATACAAAAATCCTAATAAATCTCAACTGTGTTCAAACTACCCAAAAAATGGCTAGAAAGAAGCAACTGAGTAAAGAAACAAAAGTACAGATTTGTACATTGAGGAAAGAAGGATACACAGAAAGAGAAAACGCCTAAAGGTGTTTAACAAAGGAGTCCACTGCACTCTGAAGAGACTAGAGGAACCTGGAAGTTATGATGATAGAAAAAGACCTGGACGAAAGAGAGTTACTACAAAAGCAGAGGATAAACATAGCATTGTCACCAGTAAGAGAGAAAAGACAGCACCACAAATAGGGGAGGGAATCAACATGACAAGGTCGAAACCCATATCTCTGACATCCGTGAAATGACGTTTGAGAAAGGCTTGTCTGAAGGGTTGTGTATCTGCAAAAGAACACAAAACACATGAGTTTTTAAAGAAAAGGAAAAGAGATATTAGTGGGCAAAAGCTCACAAAAATTGGACTTATGATGACTAGAAACAAGTTTGCACTGTTTGGTTCGAAACGCAGAGTCTATGTCCGCAGACAAACTGGTGAGTGTCTGAAAGCACCATGTGTTACACCCACAATTCAGCATGGAGGTGGTAGTTCCATGGTATGGGGATGTTTTGCAGGTGATGGAGTAGGAGATTTGTTTGAAGTATAGGGTATCAGAAATAAGGAACAGTACCACTCCATCCTCCAGCACCATGCTGTTCCATCTGGACTCAGACTTGTGGCTCATAAGTTTGTTGTGTAGCAAGACAATGACCCTAAGCATTCTTCCAAGCTCTGTCAGGGTTACCTAGACAAAAAAGAAGAGGAAGGTGTTCTTCAAAAGATGGTTTGGCCCCCTCAGTCTCCAGACCTTTCTCCAACTGAGCTTGTGCGGGATGAATTGAATCGATCGATCAGAAAAACGCGTCCCACGAATCAGCAGTCTCTTTTCAATGAATGCAATCCCTGGAACATACCTTGAAAAACTTGTGGAACAAATGCCTGGTATATGCCAAGCTGTTGTTAAAGCCAGAGGAGGTTACTTTAAAGAAAGCAAAGTCTAAGCAACAATAACTCAAATACCTAATAATTATAGTCAAAATGTCATCTGATAAGTTACTCTTTACACAATAGTCATGTTTATTGTGTTGCAAATTATATATATATGAAACTATGACCTTTTTTGTGCAAATCTGATCTTGCTTCCAAACTTTTGGCCTGTAGTGTGTGTGTGTGTATATATATATGTGTGTGTGTGTGTGTGTGTGTGTGTGTGTGTGTGTGTGTGTGTGTGTGTTTGTATGTATGTATGTATGTATGTATGTATGTAATTTATGTATTTCAATATCATAGAAATAGTTTCTGTTTTTTTTTTTAAAGGTGCTATTTAGGTCATTATTATAATATTATTAGTATGATTAATAAAACAAGACTCTATTCTCAGTTCCAGCAGCTGAACTCCCTCAAAGAAAAGTCATTTTATTACCTCTGACCAGATTTTTTTAACTCATCAGAAACAGTTCAGGTTTTATTTTATGTTTCTCAATATCTTGAAATTCAACATTAATCTGAAATTTCAGCTAAATGTGATTTAAATAAAGTTTATAAATAAATAATGGTTTTATTTGCTCAAATATTCCCTCAGATTATAGTTTTGCAGCAATCTGTTTCTACTGTTAGATGATCCATGTATTCCTGTTAGTTATTTTTAGACATGAACAGACTTGGACCGAAAAATAATCACACTGATATCTTTACCGAAATGATTTATGGCTATAAAAGCAAAAAGCTGCTCAGTGAAGTTCATTAAAAGGAGAGAGTTTGACTGAGAAGACAGAGAGAGACTTTAAGGAAAACTCCTGCCTTGAAAAAAAACATGATTAGAAAGATCACGTGCCGAACCAGAGAGGACGAGACTGAACAGGAACAAGAAAATCAGATCAGCTGACCCAGACAGTATTTCAGCTAAATGAAGGTTCATATATAATCCATGAGCCAGACCACTGATTGCAATAAATCAGGTGGGGAATTTCTAGTTTGTTTTTTTTAGTTGCTCCACATCCCTAGTTTATGGTTTGGCATGATAACCCTTGCAGACTGGTAGCTTAGTGATGGTTAGCATGCATTTAATCTATGGAGTCCTGTAGCAGAAATACCTGAATTTCGTATGGTGCTTGTTTGCTATTATGGGGCTTGTGGACTACTTGTTGACTGCTTTGCCCCCCTAAATCATTCTGATTTATTCCTAAGTCACTGGAGAACTGAAAAAAAAAAATAGTTTGATTTGTTGTCCAGATGAAATTTTAGACTTTTATAGCCCTCTTTTTAAAAAATATTTATAGGCGGAAATAGCATATTTATTTTTCACTTGTGTATCTCTTCTCAGCAGAGCAATTGGGTAATATTTGCATCATTTTAGACACTGGATTTGAAATCTGACAAGTCTTACCTTTCAGCAGATACCAGTGTAGATCTCTCCCCCCACATCCTCCACTGAGTCCAGCTTGAGTCCTACCACAGAGCCAGCCTTTTTCACCAGTTTGTTAAGACGTTTTGCATCTTTGTGTTTGATGCTTCCTCCCCAGCAGACTGTAACGTAGAACAGAACACTTGCCACCACAGACTGATAAAACATCTGCAGCATCTTACTACAGATGTCTATTGATCAGAGTCTTCTCAGGCAAAAGAGGCGGCTCTGCCCGTCTGTAGATGAAGTCTACATTCTTAGACCAGTCCAACTTATTATCCAGATGTACACCTAGGTATTTACATGATGTAACCCCTTCGATGTCCACTCCACAGATGTTCACTGACGGAAGTCTATGACCATCTCCTTTGTCTTTGAGGTGTTGAGGAGGGGGCAGTTTTTCTGACTCCAGTCACTGAAGGCTCTTATTAGATCTCTGTATTCAGCTTCTTGTCCATTTCTGATACATGCCACAAAAGCGGTGCCATCTGAGTATTTCTGGATGTGGCAGGACTCAGTGCTGTATTTGAAGTCTGATGTATACAGTGTGACACAGAGTAGGTACCCGCCCCAGCTGTAGACTCAGGTTGAAGATCCTTTGGAGAGGTTGACACAGTTCTGCAGCACAGTCTCTAGGCAGCCTTGGACACACACCATCTGGACCAGCTGCCTTCCCAGACTAAAGTCTTCCAAGCTCCATCCTCACCCCTGTTTTGGTGACAGACAAGGACTGGTGTTCTAGGAGGGAGGCAGTTGAAGTGGTTGAGACATTTGAACGAGATGGAGAGGAAAGGGGAGAAGTTGTAGAGGAGATTTGTTGTGGAGAGGAAGGTGGAGAAGGAGCGGAAGTGGGTGTGACAGTGGTGTCAAATCTGTTGAAGAACAGGTTGAGTTTATCAGCTCTTTCCAGATCACCCACCACTGGCTGTCTTTTCTTTTTACTGCTGTGTCCAGAGATGGTACTGATTCCTCTCCACACTTCACGGATGTTGCTGTGTTATAGATTATTCTCTATCTTCTTTTTGTACTCCAGCTTTGCCACCTTCAGTCTCCTCTTCAACTCTTGTTGCACTTGTTTGAGTCGTTCTTTGTCACCATCTTTAAAAGCGTTCTTTTTCTGGTTAAGGATTGCTTTTATGTCTCTTGTGATCCAGGGTTTGTTGTTGGGGAAACAACGAACAGTTTTTGTGGGTATAACTGTGTCTCTACAGAAGTTGACATATTCAGTTAAGCAGTCAACCTGTGTGTCAATGTTCATACTATCCACATCTGTTTCCAAGTCTGTTGATTTAAAACAGTCCCTTAGAGCTTCACTGGCTTGAGGTGTCCATCTTCTGATTTTGACTTTGGTCACAGGCTGCCTCAGCACACAAGGTCTGTAACAGGTTTGCAGATAGACCAAGTTATGATCTGACTTGCCCAGTGGTGGTAAGGCAGTGGCTCTGTAGGCTTCTTTGACGTTGGCATACAGCAGATCCAGGGTCTTGTTTTCTCTGGTAGGACAGTTCACAAACTGTGTGAATCCAGTCAAGTGAGAGGAGAGGGTGACATGGTTGAAGTCTCCCGATATTATTATTAGTGCCTCAGGGTGTTGAGTCTGTAGCCTGGCAACACTATTTTGCAAAACATCGCAACATTCTTCAGTTGATTTGCGTGGAATGTAAACAACTACTGTTATGATATGACTAAATTCTCTTGGAACATAATATGGCCGAAGAGCAGCTGTCAACAGCTCAATATCTGGACAACACAAGTTCTCCTTGACAGTTATGTGTTAAGGTTTACACCATCTCTGGTTGACAAATGAAGCCAGACCTCCTCCTTTCTTCTTGCCACTGGCTTAAGCATCTCTGTCTGACCTTATGAGAGTCAAGCCAGGTAAATCCACACAGGAGTCCGAGTTGTTTTGATTTAATCAGGTTTCAGTAAAACACAGGAAACTGCACTCATGGTATGCTTTCTCAGTCTTCACTAATATCTCCAGCTCATCGCGTTTGTTGGGCATAGAGTTGATGTTTCCCATGATGATTGATGGAAGAAAGGGTTTATATCGCCACCTCCTAGTAGTGCAATGGATAGCACATTTTTTACCTTTTTGTGTTCGTCACCTTCACTGGATTCAGTAGCCATGTTTTTCCTAGGCCATCCATCAAGTTTCTGAAACACTGAGATAAAATGTATTTTAAAATGGTTGTGAGAATAATCTGCTAATTTGAATGTGCAATATGCAGCTTGCCCCTTTAAAAATGTGAATAAGCCTACAAAGTTCTATACATTCTAGCTTGCTGACTAGCATTTGCTAACACAACTATCATCCTGATCAGCATTACATTTATAGGCTTTCTCCCATAATATTTGCAGTACATCATTGTAACAGCAGGTTCATTGTTTTTGTGGTTTCAGTTCACCAAATTCAGTTCTATCTCCTCCTCTAATGAAACAATATCAATCTCCCTTCCCATCATTTGTCTCAGCAAACCTAGCTAGCGCTGTAGCAGCAGTCACACCCCCAGTGGCATCACTTCACCAATAATAGTCATATCACAACATAACACCCCCCAAATATTTCATTTTATCACCAGATGTGCTTGATTAATGTAGGTTGAATAATTCACATGGGAAACAGAAAATCTTTCTTACCTGAGTGATTGAGAGATCAGAGTAACAGCTTGGAATTGGCAGAAGCCAGAAAATCTTGTTGTGCATGTGAACATAAAAATGTGTGTACTTCCAAAACTATAAGGGCTACAGGCATAAATTTGGTATCTGCTGAAAGGTAAGACTTGTCAGATTTCAAATCCAGTGTCTAAAATGATGCAAATATTACCCAATTGCTCTGCTGAGAAAAGATACACAAGAGAAAAATAAAAAGATGCAAAACATCTTAATAAACTGGTGAAAAAGGCCCTCACTCCACACATCATGAAAACCCTGGAGCGGCTGATTCTACGCCTTATGAAGTCTGAGGTCAAAGACAAACTGGACTCCCTGCAGTTTGCATACAAAGAACACATTGGAGTGGATTATGCTGTCCTCTACATGCTTCACCGTGCTCTGTCTCATCTAGAGGAACCTGAGGTTTATTTGAGGATCATGTTCTTCGACTTTTCAAGTGCATTCAACACCATCCAACCCACCATACTGAAAGACAAGCTCACAGAGAACGGAGTGGATCCTTCTTGTGTTTCCTGGATCGCAGATTACCTGACAGAAAGGCCACAGTTTGTCAGGCTGGGGAACTGTGTTTCTGGGACATCAAGGAGCAGTACAGGGGCTCCACAAGGGACAGTGCTGGCGCCATTCCTGTTCACACTGTATACGTCAGACTTCAAATACAACACTGAGTCCTGCCACATCCAGAAATACTCAGATGGCACAGCTATTGTGGCATGTATCAGAAATGGACAAGAAGCTGAATACAGAGATTTAATAGGAGCCTTCAGTGACTGGAGTCACAAAATCTGCCCCCTCCTCAACACCTCAAAGACAAAGGAGATGGTCATAGACTTCCGTAGATCCAAACCCCCTCTTCAGCCAGTGAACACCTGTGGAGTGGACATCGAAGTGGTGACATCATATAAATACCTAGGTGTACATCTGGTTAATAAGTTGGACTGGTCTAAGAATGTAGACTTCATCTACAGACAGGGGCAGAGCCGCCTCTTTTGCCTGAGAAGACTCCGATCAATAGACATCTGTAGTAAGATGCTGCAGATGTTTTATCAGTCTGTGGTGGCAAGTGTTCTGTTCTACGTTACAGTCTGCTGGGGAGGAAGCATCAAACACAAAGATGCAAAACGTCTTAACAAACTGGTGAAAAAGGCTGGCTCTGTGGTAGGACTCAAGCTGGACTTAGTGGAGGGAGAGATCTACACTGGTATCTGCTGAAAGGTAAGACTTGTCAGATTTCAAATCCAGTGTCTAAAATGATGCAAATATTACCCAATTGCTCTGCTGAGAAAAGATACACAAGAGAAAAATAAATATGCTATTTCCGCCTACAAATATTTTTTAAAAAGAAGGCTATAAAAGTCTAAAATTTCATCTGGACAACAAATCAAACTATTTTTTTTTTTCAGTTCTCCAGTGACTTAGGAATAAATCAGAATGATTTAGGGGGGCAGAGCAGTCAACAAGTAGTCCACAAGCCCCATAATAGCAAACAAGCATCATTTCTTGTTCCTGTTCAGTCTCGTCCTCTCTGGCTCGGCACGTGAATGAATGGTTTTATTTTGGTCACAATAACAACAAATGAGAAACAAACAGAATTATAAACTTGACCAAAAAAAGGATTAGGCGGAAGCACAATGCTTATAGTTGCCTATCCTTTACAATCCTTAAAACATCATTTTAATATTTAAAACACTTGATAATGTTGAAATAAGATTAAAAAAAGAAAAACACTTTAATATCAAAAAGAAAACATTAAAATATGTTGCACTACGAAAAGAAAAACAAAACAAAACACAAAGAATGAAAGAAAATGTTTTACTCAAAGCTGTACTCCTCAATTATTTTGCTTTTTAATGTTTTTTTAAATATTACCTATGTGTTACACAATTTTAACCCTTCGTTAAGGTTATTGCTTAACTCCCCAAACTGAAACACATCTAGCTTTTACATTTGTTCTTGCTTTTTTATCTGTTTTAAAAATATAAACCCCTCTTAAATTGTACTGTCCTTGTCTTGTTTTAAAAAGACGTACAACCTGGAAGGCTTTTACTCTTAGCCCAAAAAATGATTTCCAAAGTTTTGGTGTACACCATGTCTACAAATTTTAATGTATTAGACTTAATGAACAATGGATTGGTTGATTCAAGGTAACTGGCTTTATTTATTATTCTAATAGCTTTTTTCTGTAATTTAATGATTGGGTCTATATTTGTTTTATATACATTCCCCCATACCTCAACACAGTTTGACAAATATGGCGCTACAAGTGAAAAATACAAAATATGCAAACATTTCCTATTCAACAGCTTACTTGTTCTATACAAAATACCCACAGATTTGGCTAATTTACCTTTAATATATTGAATATATGGTTTCCAACAGAGTTTATGATCCATAATTATACCCAAGAACTTTGTTTCATATACTCTTTCTATTTCTGTTCCATTTATATTCAGTTTAATTTCACAGTCAGAAGGAACACTACCAAATACCATGAATTTGGTTTTCTTTTCATTGAGTGACAACTTATTTCTATCAAACCATTGTTTTAACTTGATCAGTTCCCTTTCAACTGTTATCATTGATTCTTGTATGTCGTCCCCTGAGCAAAGTAAATTAGTATCGTCAGCAAATGTAACGAATTTAAAAATATGAGATACTGTACAAATGTCATTTAAATAAAGAATAAATAACTTGGGTCCTATTACAGAACCCTGCGGAACACCACAAGTCACTCTTCTAAGATGGGATTCTGTATTATTTATGTTTACATATTGAAACCGATTATCTAAATAGCTTCTCAACCATTGATTAGTAACACCTCTTATTCCATACTGTTCCAATTTTTGTAAAAGCAGTGAATGATCAATCGTATCAAACGCTTTGCGTAAGTCAATAAATACACCTATTGAGGTTTGTTTATCATTAACTGCCGTTGCTATATTTTCCACAAAATCCATCACTGCTAAAGATGTTGATCTGTTGCTCCTAAATCCAAACTGATGGTCACTCAATAAGCCATATTTTTAAATGAAGCCATCAAGTCTATTAACAAATAATTTTTCGAGTATTTTGGAAAATTGAGGGAGCAATGATATAGGTTTATAGTTTGATATAATATGTCTGTCACCACTCTTAAAGATTGGTATCACCTTGGCTTTTTTCATTCCATCAGGAAAAATACCAGATAAAAATTATTTATTACATATATAAGTGAATGGTTTGAGGACAGAGTCAAAGACTATAGTTGGCATGTCAATGGTATTGCTATCTGTTGATTTCTTATTCTTAAACTTTCTTACCACTTCTTGCACATCACTCTCACAAACTCCACCGAGGAACATAGAGTTGCTGTTTATTGCTGAATCAGAATTGTTTTCCTCCTCCGTATGGTGATTAATTTCCTTTGCCAAGTTAGGGCCTACATTAACAAAATAATCAAACTCATTAGCAATTTCCTCTATATTTTTAATAGCTGAATTGTCAGTATGTTGGAAAATCCTTTTTACTGGATTTTTTAATCATATCATCAAGCACACCCCAAGTAGCTTTAATGTTATTTTTATGCATCTGTAACATCTGATTATAATAGTCTATTTTTTGTGATCTCATCATACATGTCAATCTATTTTTATATTTTTTGTACTTGTCCTCCGTATCTTTTGTTCTATACTTGATAAATTCCCTGTAAAGCCTATTTTTCTTACTGCAAGCTTTTTCCAAACCCTTGGTTAGCCATGGTTTCACACTCTTTTTAGGATTCTGTCTGTACTCCTTCAAAGGACAATGTTTGTCATAAAATGACAAAAATGTACCCAGAAACGCATTATATGCCTCATTGGTATCCTCTACATAAACCTCCTGCCAATCATGACTCCAAAGGTCTGCCTTAAGTGCCAATATTGCCTCTGGTGATTTTTGTCTGACCAGATTGTATGTATGACAATTTTCTCTTAATTTTAACTTATTCTTCATTTCTAACACAGCAAATACTGGTAAATGATCACTTACATCAGTCACTAATAGTCCACCTACTAACTTTTTATCCATTATATTTGTAAAGATATTATCAATCAGTGTTGCACTGTCCTTTGTTATTCTACTGGGCTTTAAAATTAAGGGGTAGAAACTCAAACTAAACATTATATCAACAAATTATTTCGTTTTAATATGATCATTTGATTTTATTTAATCAATATTAAAGTCACCACAAACAAAAAACACTTTTTCCTTATGTATTTCATATAATTCAGAAATCTTCTTATTAAATTGATCTAAACAAGTCCCTGGTGTTCTATAAATGCAACTAATTAATATATTTTTGGTTCTTTCAATGTTGATTTCAATTGTTAAACATTCCATCAAATCATCAATCACCATTGTCATATTTTCAATAACCTTACACTTAAAGTCAGACTTCACAAACAAGGCAACACCCCCACATTTTTTGTTGACCCTGTTTTTCTAAATCATCTCATAACCCTCTATTCCACCTTGAAATTCTTTGTCACTTCTCAACCAAGTTTCAGAAATTGCTATTAAACAAAACTTATTTTTAAACTGTTGAAGATACTTTTTAATTTTTGAAAAGTTTCTGTAGAGACTCCTACTATTGAAATGATTCACTAAAAGCCCCTCCATTTTCACTTTTGATTTAAACTTATCTTCAGAATACTATTCACAATTCAAATCAATATTCTGGTAAAAGTGGATCTCTGGATCAATGTCATTTTCTAAATCATAGTGTTTGTTGTCTTGAGAGTCAAAATACTTTAAATTTGTGTATTCACACATTGTCCAGTGTCAGATTTATCATTGTCCAGTGTCAGATTTATCACATTTCATTACTACCCGAAACACTGAGAAAAAAATAAATAAAACAAAACATGACATTCCCAAGTCCACACCTTAACCATAGCACTTGTTATTTTCATTTGTATTTTTCAAGTTCTTTTATGTCTCTGATGGTTAATACTTTGGCGTTTTCAGGTATACCATCATCATTCAGCCGAATCATCACCTTACAGTTCCTTGTCCATGTGTCTTGGATCAGCTTTACCTTTCTCAGGATTCTTGCTTGTCTTGCAATTTCACCATTTCTCTTTGTGAGATGCTCATTTACATATACTCCAGTATCCTTCAGTTTCTTTGCATTCTTCAGCACCTCAACTTTATGCTTTCTGCTCATAAATCGAATGAGGGTGTTTGGCCTGGTGCTCTTTCTTTGTGGCCCATTTCTGCTGTTGTTTTGCCTTTGGGGTAGGGTGTGACAAGCAGCTATGTTACTGCTTTCCAAAGGGATGTCTTTGCTCTTGAAAAACTGGATAACTTGCTGTTCAAGTGACTCCTGTTCTTGTTCTGGTGCATCCTCGCCCGTCTTGTCCCCGGCTGTAGCCCTTGCATAGCTGCGGTGTGTTGTCTCAAGCCCAGCTATCACCAGGTCATCAATCCTGGAGTACTGCTCCAAATCGTCCACTCTTCTTTCAAGTTTCTTTGATAGTCTTGTCCTTCTCCTTGACTACAGCAAGTTGTAAACTTCACTAGATCTTTTGGATGTCAAGCCATTTTCAAGATTTTAGATGGATTGTCATTTGTTTGTTAGAGCCACACACATGGTGCATCTATGTGGCAGCCATCTTGGATGTGATCTTTCTAATCATGTTTTTTCACGGCAGGAGTTTTCCTTCAGAAAAAAAAAAAGAAAGTCTCTCTCTGTCCTCACAGTCAAACTCTCTCCTTCTAATGAACTTCACTGAGCAGCTTTTTGCTTTTATAGCCATAAATCATCCCGGTAAAGATATCAGTGTGATTATTTTTCGGTCCAAGTCTGTTCATGTCTAAAAAATAACTAACAGGAATACATGGATCATCTAACAGTAGAGACAGGTTGCTGTGAAACTATAATCTGAGGGAATATTTGAGCTAATAAAACTTTATTTAAATCACATTTAGCTGAAATTTCAGATTAATGTTGAATTTCAAGATATTGAGAAACAGAAAATAAAACCTGAACCTGAACACACACACACACACACACACACACATATACGTATATATATATATATATATATATATATACACACACACACACTACAGGCCAAAAGTTTGGAAGCAAGATCAGATTTGCACAAAAAAGATCATAGTTTCATATGTATAATTTGCAACACATTAAACATGACTATTGTGTAAAGAGTAACTTATCAGAGGACATTTTGACTATAATTATTAGGTATTTGAGTTATTGTTGCTTAGACTTTGCTTTCTTTAAGTAACCTCCTCTGGCTTTAACAACAGCTTGGCATATACCAGGCATTCGTTCCACAAGTTTTTAAGGTATGTTCCAGGGATTGCATTCCAAGCTTTCTTAAGTTCATAAAAAAAGAGACTGCTGATTCATGGGACGTGTTTTTCTGATCGGGAGAACATGCAAACTCCACACAGAAATGCCTTGTCCCAGATTCGAAACCCAGGACCTTCTTGCTGTGAGGCGACAGTTCTCACCACTACACCACCGTGCAGCCCGCCCAAAGTAATTTAACCAATGAAATTGTTTTTTTTTTTCAACTAACACGTTGTAATTTTAAAGAAGAAACAGAAAACACAGTATGTGCAGCAATAATGGCACCCCTCTTTAATATTTGGTTGCACAGCCTTTGGCAGTGATGACAGCTTCCAAACGTTTCTTGTAGCCATTTATAAGCTTCTCAGCTGGTATTTTCTCCCACTCTTGAATGTTTTCAGGTTTCTTTTCCCCAATGGCAGATTTCAGCTCATACCAAAGATTTTGAATGGGATTGAGATCAGGACTCATTGCTTGCCATTTTAAATAAGTCAATTTTTTCCTTTTCAACCATTCCTGCATGCTTTTGGATATGTGCTTTGGGTCTTTGTTTTGCTGGAGGACCCATGATCTTCTACTCAAACCAAGTTTTCTAACACTGGGTAGGACATGTCGCTTTAGAATGTCTTGATAATTCTCTGATTTCATGATTCCTGTGATACGATCAAGGCCTCCAGTACCAAATGCAGCAAAGCAGCCCCACAGTATCATGGATCCTCCACCATGCTTAACTGTTGGAAGGGTGTTCTTTTCCATGTAGGCTTCATTGCGCTGTCTGTAAACAAACTATTGGTGTGCATTGCCAAAAAGCTCCATTTTTGTTTCATCTGTCCACAGAACATTTTTCCAGAAGGATTGTGGTTTGTCCTGGTACTCCTTGGCAAAGATTAGTCGTTCTTTTTATGTCTTTGCCTTAGGAATGGTGTCTTCCTTGGCCTTCGTCCATGAAGCCCTGTTTGGTTTACTGTGCGGCGTATGGTACTTGTTGAAACCATGACCCCAGACTGTTCCAGGTTGGCCTTCAGGTCTTTGGATGTCTGACCTGGTGTTTTTTCCACCATTCCCACCAAACTTGGAAGACTTCTGTCATCAATATTTCTCTTCCTGACAGATCCAGGGAGGTTCTTGACAGTTCCATGCTTGTGATACTTCCTAATCACATTACACACTGTTGAAACAGGGATACCAAGGTCTTTGAAGATGGCCTTATACCCTTTGGAGATCTTGTGTTTGCAAATTATCGCACTTCTGATGTCCTCAGACAGCTCCTTTGTCTTCACCATTGTGACAAAGGAACAGGGGATAACAGGTGGCTTTTTAAAACATGGAAGTCATCATTCATCAGTTAATTCATGTCACATGGGCACAGACAATTTATCACAGGTGATTCTCATTTGTGTTTGACCAAAGGTGAGTCACACTGTGTTCCAATACTAATTTATAGGAAAGGGTGCCAATAGCAGTGACACAGCATGCTTTAAGTTTTTCTATTTTTTTCCTCCCATTGTTTATTGTTTTAAATTGTTGTTTATCATTTAGTCTTTTGTATCAAACACAAGTTCTCTATAAAAAAATGTTTCACTTGTTTCATGTTTTTTCAGAAGATATTCCACATGATGTACTTAAACTTCATGGGTGCCAATAATGGTGAGCAGGACTGTATCTGACCTCAGAACAGCCACAGTCCTCATCACTTTCTTTGATACCTGTAAACCGTCAAGGGCCACAGTTAGTCTGCTGTCTGATTTGGCATCTCTCTGATCCTAATCAGAGGTCCAGAGGTCTGTGAGATGAAAACTCTTAAAATCATCCAGAACATTTAAACTCTCATGTCTGAGTTGCTGCCTGTTAGGCAGATACTGAAGCACTTCCTGCCAGGTTGACGGGTGTTGAAGTGGTGGAGGTTTAAGTATTGGTGTTCACAGCAGGGGCCTGGACTTCATAACGTAGGGCTTCACTAATTGGAACAATAAAGCTGGATCAAAGTGAAGGGACTAGATTATTCAGAGCAGAGCTGGAGATGCTCCACCTGATAATGAGGCTCATTAAGGATTTACTCTAGAGACAAAGACCAGCTCAAACTGAGGGTTAAAATCAGAGTCCCAGTAAAAGGGAAATTAACTTAAATTAACTTTAGACTTAAACCTAAATAGTCACGGTAAAAGAGGAATAAAGACTTATTCTTTAACAGTCACAGTAAAAGAGAAGATGGAAAGTGTGGAAAGTTGCTAAGATCATTCCTCTACCAAAAAACAGGAAAGAAGAACTCACAGGATCTAACAGCGGGCCAATTAGTATTTCACCTGTATTAGGAAAATTAATGTAAAAAAAATTGTATTGATGCAAATTCAAAATGATGTCTTGATTAATAAAATTAATTCAGACTTTCAACATGCCTATAAAACTGGATACTCAACATGCACAACTCTTACACAGTTGACAGATGACTGGCTGAAAGAAATTGACATAAAATTATTAGTTGGAAGAGTGTTGTTGGATTTTAGTGTTGTGTTTGATATTATCGACCATGCACAATCACAAAACTAGCTGCTTATGGTTTCAAACTCCCAGCGATGAACTGGATGAAAAGCTAGCTATTCAATAGACAGCAATGTGTCCTGTTTAACAGACTTTTTTCAAGTGTAAAAACATTGGACAGTGGCATTACTCCTTATTTCCTTATTTTCTAACCAGCACAACCAAAAAGCAAGTTATGCAATCCTTGTCTTGTCATATCTTGACTATTGCCCAGTTATCTGGTCTAATGCATCTAAACAAGAACTAAATAAAATCCAGTTTAACAAAATAATACTGAGAGATTAGCTTTGCATTAGAAACAACAATGAAAAAATGCACAAAACAGTTGTCATGGATGAGAGTCAGTGAGAGACTAGCTTGTAGCATTATTATATTTTTGACAAACATCTATATCTCTAGAAATCTAGCGATCTCTTCTCTCAACTGTTGCTCATTAGTGATAGTCTAACTATGGCAGTAGACAGGCTGTGAGAGGTGATTTCAGCATGCCCAAACCTAAAACTGTGATGTTTAAGGCAATCACATGCTGGAACAGACTTCCACAACAGTTTTAGTTTCCAGTACAGCAGGTTTGAAGAAACATCTAGAACAGGGGTCGGCAACCCGCGGCTCCGGAGCCGCATGCGGCTCTTTCATCCTTATACTGCGGCTCTGAGTGGCTTGGGAAAATAAATTACTAAAAAAAACAAACAAAGTATCTATTTGAAGTGTATTTTATTTGTATTAGTTCTTGAATATTTTAGTTCTAGATTGGAAGATTATTGTGATCTTGACATATTAGAATAAATATATTTTATTGTTTTTCGTCGCTCAAAATAAACGTCATACTTGCGAAAGCCGGTATGCCGTCCATTTGTCGCGACTTTCAACCCCAGCAAGGCCAAGTATGGAGAAATTTAAGAAAAGAAAAATATCTGAAGAAAATAGAACATTCATTGATGCCTGGGCAGATTCATTTGCATTTACCTCTGATGAGAGTGGCCTACCAGTATGCCTAATTTGTGGAGAAAAGCTGTCTAACAATAAACGGTCAAATGTCGCAAGACATTTCAACAATACACACAGAGCCTTTGCTGAAAAATATCCAGAGGGAGAAGAGAGAAAAAAAGCTGTTTCGGGACTGATGCGGAAGGCTGATCTGACGAAAAATCACTTCAAGAAGTGGGTGAAGTCTGCAAATTCAACTACATATGCAAGTTTTGTGGCCGCTCAGGAAATAGTCAGGTATGGGAAACCGTTCACAGATGGAGATTATATGAAACAATCATTCCTTAAGATTTCAGAACACCTATTCGCGGACTTTAAAAACAAGGATGAAATTGTGCAGAAAATCAGAGAGATGCCTCTCTCTGCGAAGACTGTTAAAGACAGAACCATAAAAATGGCAGAAAATATCACAATACAGCAAATTAAAGACATCAATTCAGCTGCAGCGTACTCAATCGCCTGTGATGAGTCCAAAGACAAAAGTGACATTGAACAAATAGCGCTGTTCTGCCGATATGTGAACTCTGCTGGACCACAGGAAGAAATGGTTGAGCTGATACCACTAAAAGGCCAGACACGGGGGGAGGACATCTGTGAGGCCGTGCTTGATTGTTTACGAGCCAAAGAAATAAAAACAACCCACCTAGTGTCAGTGGCTACTGATGGGGCACCGAGTATGACTGGAGAGCACAGGGGCTTTGTGGCTTTGCTGCAGAAGTCACTGGACAGAAAGCTGCTCACTTTTCACTGCATCCTGCACCAAGAGGCATTGTGCGCGCAAACTTTTCCTTCAGAATGCACAGAGGTCATGAATCTTGTCATTCAGATTGTAAATAAAATAATGGCAAAAGGTTTAAATCACCGCCAGTTCCGTTCGTTACTGGATGAGGTGGACAGCACATACTCTGATCTCCTGCTGCACAACAGAGTCCGGTGGCTGTCCAGAGGAGAGGTGCTGAAACGTTTTGCTGCATGTCTGGGAGAGGTGAAAACTTTCATGAGCAGCAAAGGGCTCACCTTTCCTGAGCTGGAACAGCCAGAGTGGCTGGAAAAGCTGCACTTCATGGTGGACATGACAGCGAACCTGAGCAGGCTGAACACAACTCTTCAGGGGAGAGGAGGCACAGCGCTACACATGCTGGAGGAGGTGTTAGCGTTTGAGCGCAAACTGACAGTTTTAGCCAGAGATTTACAGAGAGGCACACTGTCTCACTTCCCCTCTTTAAGGGAGTTCAAACAAGCTCACAAGGTGATCAATTCAGAGTATTTGCATTCTGCAATCACCACAATGCAAGCATCGTTTGGGAAACGATTCCGTGAGTTCAGAGAGGAAAAAACCACATTGTCCTTCCCCGTCACTCCCCTGAACATCGATCCATCCCTGCTAAATGTGACTGCATTTGCAGGTGTAAGTCAACCTGATCTGGAGCTGGAGCTGGCTGACATAGCCGACAAAGACATGTGGGTGGCCAAATTCAAACGCTTGACAGAGGACCTTGAAGATGTTGCCCGCCAGAAGGCCACTCTTGCTCAGAATCACAAATGGAGTGATATTGAGAACCTTCCAAGACCGGACAAACTCGTGTTTGAAACATGGAATGCCATCCCCGACACCTACATGAACATGAAGACATATGCCTTTGGAGTCCTGTCGATCTTCGGATCCACATATGTATGTGAGCAGCTATTCTCCACCATGAACTACATTAAAAACAAACACCGCTCACGCCTCACAGATGACAGCTTACAGTCTTGTGTAAAGATGAGAGTGACTTCGTACAGCCCCGATTTGCAGAAGCTGTGCGCAGAGGTTCAGGAGCAGAAGTCCCATTAACCAGGTTAAATAAATATTTATGCAGATAGTTTGCAAATATTTATTTCTCATTGTTTAGTGACACAGTGCTTTTTTCCCCAATTTATGTTTTAAATTCAGGTCAAGGCTCCGCTACATGCTCTGAAAGCCCAAAGGCGATATAAGGATGACGGCTCACGGCATTTTTTTGGTTTTGTTTGCTACATGGATAATTTAAGTTCAGCTTTTTAATTTATTTGAAAGAGACATTCAGACACTGTATTATTTTTTCAAGAATTCAAAATGTTCAAAATGTGTTCATGTTCGTTTAATAAATGCGTTCATAAATAAATTCATTTTAGATGTCAAAAAGTATTTGCGGCTCCCAGTGTTTTCTTTTCCGTGGAAACCGGATCAAATGGCTCTTTCGGTGTTAAAGGTTGCCGACCCCTGATCTAGAAGAGCTTTACTGCAGAAAGAGGTTGTTGTAGAGTGTGACTAATGTTTTGGCAGTTATGTGTTTTCTGTTATGAGTTGTATTTAATTTTATTTATGCTTATTTTTGGTTGACTTTCAATTAAGTGTGCTAAGAGTGGATGAGTTTGAGAAGCATATTGACTCTCAGGCCTCTCAGGCGTTGTATACGTTTTGACCTGCCATTCACAGGAAACCGCAGGGTTATGTCATTAATAACGCTGCTTTTGGAAAACTCCGGCCAAAGTGAAAATTTTCGAAAACTCAGGTTTTGCATTTGTGTGTGGACATAAATAACCAGTTTTAAATTCCCAAACGTCAGTGTCTGCAACAACTAGTAGATAATCGTCATATACTATGCGCCTTTGTTTATATCAGGCAGTGGACAGCAGATATATACAGAATATATATTTTTGTTAGGAGCAAAGGAGAAGGAACACTTTGCAGTTGGTTATTCTACACCAAATAACCCTTCCTCCACTTTTTGTTGTGTCTTGTTGACTTTCTATTCCAAAACGATGCTTAAAAGCTATTCCACCTCTTTGTCAGTCCACACGAATGAACTACACGGTGCTATGTTTCATGTTTGGAATAGTGATGACAAGAAAGGGAAGCTTGCTCTGATTGGATAGAAACTTTTTGGCAAATACTACCAACTCCAGGTCTGCCATGCTTATAACTGCGGTCAATAGCACATTTATGTGGTTTTGTGTGGATGGGATTTTATTTGAAAACAATGATGTGTGTACGTCACTTGTTCTAAAATGGAGGGGGGTGGATATTCATTTATAAAAAAACCCGGCTATGTGTGTACATGGCCTCAGAACGCTCCCTCACTCCTCCTCCTTTGCTTCGCTCTGACACAGACTTTCAAGCTTAATCCTGATCTGACTGACGTCTGAGTAAAAGAGAAGATAAAAACCACTCCCTCTGTTGCTCATCTTCTCTTGCCAAACTTCAGACCAAGGTCAACCACAGGGGTCAGAGGTCAAACTGTAGATGCACATTAAAGAAAACATCAGTAACTCTTGCAGTCTGGTTTTTATTGTGTGTTTTTTTCTCTGCAGATCCTGACGTGATGAAGAGCGAGCCCACCAGTGAAGACTCCAGTGCTTCTGCTCCAGTCTCTGCCCCCGCAGGGTCTCCACAACTGCCAGGCGCTGCTAAAGAGCACAAAGTGGGAAAAAAGAGTGGCCGAGCAGGGGAGGAGTCTGACAGTGATTTTGAGTCCGACCCCCCATCTCCCAAAAGCAGTGAGGACGAGGATCAGGAGGAGGAGGAGGGCCTGAACAGTGAGCATGGCGAGGACACCGAGCCAGAGATCTCAGGACAGCGCCCCCTTTTGATGGACTCTGAGGAGGAGGGTGAGGATGATAACAAGCACAGCTCAGACTCAGAGTACGAGCACAACAGGGTCAAAGGTCACTCCAAGAAGGCGGTGGTTAAAGCAGCCTTAAGGAGGAGTCCTCGGAACAACTCAGGGATGACCCTGATCATGCCGCCTCAGTCACCCAGCAGGGGCAAAACTCCTCCTCCAGATGCCGTGGACATGTTTGGGGCTGTTCCCTTCGTGGGCGAAGCTTTACCTGCCACTCTTCTACAATACTCCGACATCTTTACCAAAGCACCTTTCAGGCAGGCAAGCCAGGAGCAGTCGGCCATGGACGACTTTGATGTGTTCACTAAAGCACCCTTCACCAGGAACCTCTCTAAGTCCGGGTGTGGCGGGCTAGACGTCCCCATGGGCCAGACCCCACCCATTTCCCCTGAGAGCATCGACATCTTTGGCTTCTCACCCTTCCAGCCTGGCCCGACTGACCCACCTTCCACCACCTCTCGGAGCGCGGAGGACATCTTCAGGCCATCAGTGGAAGACTCGCCCAGTCCTCAGCAGCAGAGGCTGAAGCAGCGCAGCCTCCAGAAACTCTCCTCACGCCACAGGAAAACCAAGCAGGAGTCCGCCGTTGGAGGCAGCAATGGCAAACGCCACCATGGTACCCCCACCGGAGGACGCAAGACCAACAAGCCAACATACCGCACCCCTGAAAGAGTCCACAGACACAAGAAGGTTGGACGCCGAGACTCGCAGAGCAGCAATGAGTTCTTGAGCACGTCGGACTCAAAGGAGAACATTAGTGTAGACATCCCTATGGCAGAGGGAAAAGACAAAGGAGTGTCTTTGCCTGTGGACGACGCCCTGCTTGACCCGTTTGGAGCCAAACCTTTCCACCCTCAGGACGGTGGGCGCTACACTGGACTCAGTGACAGTCGGAGTGACATGGGCACTGCCAATGGAAAGTCCTGGACCAGCCCTCTCCACACCACTCTAGAAGAAAGCAAACTGATAGATGATTTCGGGGCGGTGCCTTTCACAGAAATGGTGGTCCACAGTGGTCCTCAGCAGACTCCGCCCGCACAGCCCGTGGAGCTTGACCCATTTGGAGCGGCGCCCTTTCCCTCCAAACAGTGACTCCTCTTGAATCTCTCTGACGCTCTAAGAGCCTCTGTGGGACCTTTAGCCAATCATGAACCAGCAAGCTCACCTTTTTTTCTGCCAGACCTCTTGGACTGGACTGGTCACATATCTGTCAGCTGAGACGCCTTTAGTCCTGAATTCTTATGCTCGCATCACTGCAGATGCTCTTCAGCTGCCTTCAGTTTTTCTTTTAGCACCAGAAAGCCTTACCTGCGCGGGCCTGCCTCGCCGCACTGTACCTCTGAAACCTCCTCACAGCAGGTGATGGAGGCGTGGTTCAGGAGTCACCTGAGCGGCTCAGTTTGTTGTGGACCTTTTTTGTCTATGCAAAGCTCCCAGTCTTCCTCATGCAACTGCTGTGGCTCTTCCTTAAAAATGTGGATCTGGGATTGGGGTAAGGCTTTACATTTCGGCTCCTAACTGTTTACTTTTTTCTAGCAGTGAGCTTCTCTGTAAGAACTGTTATCTTTCTTTTTTATGAATTACTCGACACTTTTGTTCACATCAGGAGGAAATAAAACATTAAGACACAAACAGACCTTAGGCTGTGGCCATTTTTTATATACTCACTGACTCATTCTTTGACTCAGAGTTCAACCTCAGAACACATCAGGATGATTTCAGATCTTTATTCAGAGATTAAAAACATGAACCTGCAGGTTAAATTCCAGTTAAACAACTTTCTCCTCTTAAAATCTGTCTTTTGCTTCTGAACGTCTGGGACCATCTGAAACCTGCAGCTGCAGGTGGAGGCTGTATCAAGAAGAATAAGGAAAGTTGTCTGACATTTATTTAAAGTCATCAGCAGTTTGATTCCTCACACATGGAGAGTAAAAATACAAAATTAGAGTTTCTAGAAAAAGAGTGCAAGCTGATCTGGACCATAAAAACACAGAACAGGTTTTAGGAGGAAGGATTTACACACAGAAACAGAGCCAGGAGATTGAAACTCGAACCCCAGAGAACATGTTTCCAACCCCGAGATGTTAAATATCACGGAGGAAAAAATAACAAAATCAGTGCAAACCAGATACAAACACGTTCAAACACATTACACAGGTTCAAAACACAATGAACACTTTTAAACACGTCAAACCCTTTAAAACAAGTTTAATACGTTAAACATGTTTAACACGTTAAGCACATTCAAGAGTGTTAAACACGTTAAACACATTTGTAACATGTTTAACACATGTGTAACATATGCTACATGAGCATCTGAAGATACTGACCCACAGAGGAGCTGCTGATACAGTGATGCTTTCACTAATGCACAGTACACAGTAACATTAGAAAGAACATGAATTTGATGCATTTGAGAAGAAAACCATTAAAACACTGAACAGCGGACCTTTGACATTGCACCATCACCTTGCAGATGAATGAACTCTGAAATGCTAGTGTGTGTGTATGTATGTGAGTGTGTGAGTAGTTTTAAATATAGACTGGAGAGAAGATACAAACATGTTACGTTTGGAGAAAAACTGTAGATTTTAACAGAAACTACAGACACATTTTTTTTTGTCAGTGCTTTGGTCTGGAGAAAACAACAACTTAGATTTCCGCCTGTTGGGGGTGCTCTTTAAACAGAAGGGCTGGGATTAAAGTAACCAAGATCGTGATGCTCTTCAGATTCAAATGAAGCAGGAGGCAGGAAGTGAGCGAACATCAATCCAAACTGACATCAGCATCAGTGTCATGTTTCACTCACTGTGAGTCACTTAATCTTTATATGCAGTTTCAGTTCCGTGTAATAGGCCTTTGAGTTCATACCAGACATCATCAGACTGTCTGTGGATTCCTCTTTCATTCAGACCAGTGTGCAGTTTCTAAAAAAGATTGGTATAGGCAATTTTTCTGTTTGAACACGGATGGTAAAAAAACACTTTCAAATAATAGTGGCACATATAAGTGACATAATCGTTCAGTTGGTGATACAAGCATGAAAATTGGTGTGAGCATTCTCCATGGGTCATTTTACTAGAAAAGTGTCCCAGCCATTTGAAATTTCAAGATGGTGGCCATTTTTCAAGATGGCCACCACCTAGGTGGAACAATTAGGCGATGTCCTTGTTAAGCTGGTGATATAGGCATGAAAATTGGTATGAACCGTCTTCATGAGTCACTCAACAAGAAAATGCCCCAAGTTGCTTGAAATTTCAAAATGGCAGCCATTTTAAAGATGGCTGCCATTTCATTTGAGCGGTTTAATGTTGTAAAGTTGGTGATATAAACGTGAAAATTGGTAAGACCAATGTCTGTGTTCCCCATGAGTAACTTAATAAGAAAATGCCCCAAACTGCTTGAAATTTCTAGATGGTGACCATTTTTAAGAATTCTTTTTAATATATATATATATATATATATATATATATATATATTTATTTTTTTTTTTTTTTTTTATTCAAACATATGTTTATTAAGGTGCCTCTAAAGGGATATGGAGAAAAAAAAAGGAAACACAAATGTTTTGTGCATGCGAAAGAAGAGTGTTGTTCTTCTCTTGGAGCTGGGATACCACAGGGTGTATTCCCACCAGAGAACAATTGGAGCGGGAATACATCCCGAGATACAGTATCTCCACTCACACCAGAGAACACCGCACCTCTTTAGGGTGCGCATGTGAATGTTTCGTGTTTACACGCTAGTTTTATTTCTTTTTTGTGTGTGTCTTTTTCTCCATGTCCCTTTAGGAGCTCTGTGGTTACCTCCGCCAAGGAGGTTATGTTTTCGGTAGCGTTGGTTTGTTTGTTTGTCTGTTTGTCCGTTAGCAACTTTACGGAGAAAGTTACAGACGGATTGACCTGAAATTTTCACCAGAGGTGCGTCTCAGCCCCAGGAGGATCCCATTACATTCTGGTGGTGATCCGAATCGCCTTCTGGATCCAGGAATTTTTTCAAGGATTCTTTATCATTGTGAAATGGGGCAAATTTTGGAATTTTTGCATTTAACTCTATAAAAATGGCCAGAGTCTTAAGTAAAAAATTACACAAAAGGATCTCAATGAGTTTTATGAGGTGTCAATGGTTGATCCTGATCCAGACAAAATTCCGGATACTGTGATCCAGAACACACAAAAATAAGGGTGTCGTTGGAATTTTCAATGCTGAAAGATAACCAATGAAGATACAAGGAAGTGTACGCTTACAAATATGGCATAATAAATCATGAATTTATGTATCTTATATGAGCTTTGTTGTTTTAGGAACATTATGAACAGTGAACATACCAGTTTAAACACAAATAAAAGTTAATAAAAGACAAGCAACAGTAAAAGTTTTGGTGTGAATCACAATATAAGGGGGGGACATGAGCTGCTTGGTGGAGGTCTTCGCTCTCCGAGTGCTATTCTAGTTAATGTTATTTTTATCTTTAATGTTTTGTATTTTTTTACTGCTAAGCACTTTGAGATCATTGACTTGATGTAAAGCGCTATACAAATAAAATTCATTATTATTATTTTTTCGAATAGAATAGACATAGGATAGAATTTGTTTATTGTCCTTGTACAGTGTACAAGGACCTTAAAGTGGAATCCTGACGGTATAAAATAACACTGTGATTAAAAACATTGTAATGAAATATAAACCACATAATAATAGAGTTAAAACATCATAATCTAGTTGTCTCTCGTTGTCTTGTCTAGTTGTCTAGTCTCAAAGACTTTTGCAAAACTCTGTGAATGCCCCTCTGCAATTGATAAGAGCGACCTGCAAGTGTTGGAGAGATTTGTTGTGGTGATGTATTACAGATCCAGTGATGTCACAACTGTCAATAAGGCGAGGCTTGATCTTTTTACAAGAAAGGAGAGACCATATGACCTGATCCCACCAACTCAAGCAGCACTGAAAGAGCATGCCAAATGTGCAGAAATGCCAAGCCCATATGACTGGGTATTGATAAAAGAAGATGACAAATGTAGAATCTTTTGGACTCCTCTTCCTTTTTGTAGCAGAAAGTTGTTGGGAGTTGACCAAATGTGGGTGCACCAAGGAATGTACTGGACAATGCAAGTGCTTCAAATATGGACTCACTTGCACATGTCTATGTCATTGCCCCGGTTAGAAGCTATGTGTGTATTCTTTTTGCCAGGACTGCTTCCCCTTTTTTACCTTACCTTTGTCAGAAAGAACAAAAGTTACAAAAAAGGTACAAAAAACAAAAAAAGTTTTTAAAATGTTTTAAGAAAAAAAAAAACTCCCTTTTGACTGCTACCTTGTTGTGGTAAGAGAGTTTGCATACTTTCATGAACCCTAAGAGCTATGCCATTGGGAGGCAACTCCTAGCAGGTTTTACCACATTGGACAGGTCAAGGGCGAGGAGTTGAACAAAACACAGTCAAGCATTTTCTTATCAAATTACTCATGGAAAATGGTCTTACTGTTTTTCATGTTGATAGCACCAATTTTACATCACTTGACTGCTCTAATGCGATAGCAGCCATCTTTAAAATGGCTGCCATCGGGAAATTTCAAGCAGCTTGGAGCAATTTCTCATTATGTGACTCATGAAGACTGTTCATACCAATTTTCATGGCTATATCACCTACAAGTACATCACCTAATTGTTCCACTAAGTGGTGGCCATCTTGAAAAATGGCTGCCATTGTAAAATATCAAATGGCTTGGACACTTTTCTAGTTAAGTGACCCATGGAGAATGTTCATGACAATTTTCATGCTTGAATCACCAACTTAACGATTCTGGCTAAAATTTGTACTTGGCTGCTGCACTATAAGCAGCAGAAGGAACTAAGGAACTTTGGGTCTGTGAATTACATGTTAAGTCAATGCAAAGACGCAACTAGACGCTCCTACTGCTCTGGCGGCACGAATGACGCGAATTGGGCGGGAGCTGAAAATGTCTCAACTTGTGGATATTCGGATATTTGCGTCGCGATAACTGATCAGCACGAAGGTTGCCAAGTGACGTCTGAAAACCTACGGTTATTCACTGGTATCTAAAATGGAGGACAAACTGATCATGTCAGTGTATAAGTGCCCTGAATTATATGATACCTTTTCTTTCATTTACTGAACCCGGAATAAAAAGGAGCTTGCCTGGAGGCAAGAGAGTGAGGTGGTCGGATTACCTGGTAAGTTGTAAAAAACTACTTGCGCCCACCAGTAGAATTGGCAGGGATTAAGTTTGAAATTACTGTTGATGCATGAATTAAGCGAGTAAATACTATTTATTCACACATCTAGATGATTTTACTCGCGCTTGGTGTGAGCGCCCCATTGTCTGTAAGTCTGTGAGTGTGAGTCTGAGATTGTCTGTGGGTCTGTCTGCAGAATCAGCCACAGAGATGAAACTGAGTTTTTCATAAATACAGACCAAGATTTTGGTCATTTTGAATCACTTTAACCATCAAAGTCTCTGCACCAATACCTGAAGACCCTCAGTAGAAATTCAGACCTATTTGTACCTCCTGAGTTTGAAGGTTTGAGGTCCACTTTGCTCTAAAATTGCTGATTTAAAAACTGTTGAAGTCCAGGTGAGTTTTCTCAGAAACTCTGAGTCTTTAAATTGTTAAGTTTAAAACATCAGCTGAAAAAAGCAGCTGAAATTACCGTTTTTCTCTCTGTACTTGTTCACAGACAAAAATCACGTTGTAACATTCAAAATCAGACATTCAGTAAGTCCTGCAGTTAGTTTAATTTACCTGGGCAGAGCCTTACCTTTTACCCTTCTCCTCAGGTTCATTCATAACAGAGTTATTAGGGGATCATGAACATTTATCAAAGTAAATTTGAGTTTTAAAAAAGGGGCCTTTAAAAATTTCACTTTTTTGCTGCAAGTTTTGCTTCACACCATGTCTTTACAGAGGCACTTACAGAGGAGGGAGGGGTTTCTGATTCCACAGCCTCAATGTGTCCGATACTCTGAAGCTTAACTCAGATTACTGTGTCAGGTTTTTCAAGGCTGCAGATTTTAAATGAGGAAGTTTGTTGCTACAATCACTGAAACGATACAAGCAGGAAGGACTGAAGGAGAGTTCGTGGAGAGCCCAGCTTTACAACAGTGCATGCTGTGAAACTCTGCGACTGCTCACCGACCTGCAGACAAAAACAGAGTCAGACAGTCAGAGAAAGAACATGAACTTGAACTGATCTGAGAAACTCTGAATCATATTTACTTAGTCCAAAGTGAAATCAAATGTCTGACACTTTTAAAAGCTTGAATATCTGAAGTTTAACTTGTCCTGGTAATGTAATCCTGTTTAAAGAATTTGAGGCCAAGCGACGATAAAAGAGGTCACAGATCAGCATACAAGAGCACAGACCCATTGTGTTCAGGGCGTCACTCATGCGCGCTGGGGGATGTCTGGACAGGGCTGGCTGTGTCTGTAGGCCATGATGAAACAGGAAGACTGGTGCCACCAATAAAACATGAGGATCAGCAGCAGGTGCCACACCTGGTGACTGGAGCCCAGATAGTTCAGCTGACCTGGAGCCAGACGGGGGCTGGGGTTAGACCTCAGACTGTAAGGGCTTAGGTCTGTCTGCAACCAAACCCTGTTCACTACAGTTCGGTGCTTTACCTCAAAAACACTCACAAACATTTTCACTCACATGAAAAACACAGACAGTTAAACCACCTGACTGTGATTGCATCTCCTTCAAATCAAACGTATGTTTAGACTTTTACGAGTCCATCTGAAACTGGGATGACTTGAACCCCACAGTGAGCTCTAAAATGATGATGATGAAGGTCAATATCAGAAAGAAGAGTGGAGCATAAAGGAGCTCTAAATAGAATATCTCAGCTTCTTTTTTATCTGTTTACCTGCATTTAAAACATAATCCTCCTGAATCCAACATTCATGTTTAAATAAGAAACACCCAGAACCTCCATCTGAGAGGAGACGCCAAATGGACGTGAACCGATTTCCTAGTTTATTGTCATTTAGTCTTCTGCAGGGTGGTATTTAAAAAGCTGATGTCTTGGTCTGATGAGTGTTTCAGAGTTTGATATGAAGCTACAGATCCTGACTAATACACAATAACACAGAAGAAGAGAGGAGAGGACTCTGGAGTTAGTCTCACCTGGGAAGTAGCGTTCAGGAACCTTAGAAACGTAGAAAATCAGAGCCAACACGGCGATGAGGTACATGCCCAGAACTCGAGGAACAAACGTCTGAGAGGACAAATGTATTCAGGTGTGAAAGAATTCACTGCACCATTACAATGTCAGCTAAATAACAATCCCTGAATTACTGCTATTACAGTTACCATGGAGACCTGTCAGCTCTCATCTGTGCCAGCTCAGAACAATGTTACAGTTTCCATGGAAAGGCTGGTATTGCTCACCTGTACGAGCTCAGAGGAGAACCCCCCAGTCAGACAGATCCAGTGTACAGTAGGCACAAGGCCATATCCTGCCACAGAGCAGAAGATGAGTGAGCGCAGCTGCTTCCACTGTTTGCTGAGGTAGTGAGGGTGAATCTGAGCAAAGAACACCGCCAGGATCATCGCCAGCACCGTCACCAGGTACACCTGTCGCCAGTACTGTAGATACAGAGGAGTCAAAAGTCAAACTCTGACACCTGTAATCACACACCACTCTGGTCATGGTGAACATGCTGACCTGTAGAGTCGGGCAAAAACTCCGATGCTGATCTACTTTGGTCCTGGTCCATGATGAGAACTAAGGACAGAGGAGCAGGTCTGCTGTACTGTGATTTACACAGTTGAACTCTAAGAACTCACATCACACTGTGACTCTGATGTGGTGCTGCGGCTCTCTGTCTTCCCATCTGCAGTGGAATATCAAACCCTGAGGCGGGCAGAGCACACCACCTTCCTGTTTCTTCATCTTCCCAAACTTAATATCTTGTCCTCTGTTCTTTTTATCCCCTTCTTATTATACCGTCATTTTGATCTGATGTCTGTCAGGATGTGGGACCTGTACTAGGTGGACCTGAAGAAGAAGAGTTGTAACTGCAGTATTCCTCCTTCAAAACACCAGGGGCCTCATTTATCAACCTTGCGTACACACAGATGTGTGCGTAATGAGTGCGTACAAACATTCCCACGCAAAGTCTGGAATTTATCAACCTGTACTTGTGCTTAGGAACGTGCGTAAATTAAAGCACAACTCTGACCATGCATACACACAAAACCTAGTGGTAGGACAGTAAAACTACAAATAGAACCCATTAAAGGAGTCACAGCTTCAGCAATCTCAAACTTCACACGTTCTCTGTTGCCTCTATACAAAATTTATCAATTCATAATTTAGCAGACATTTTGAATGAATGGTGAGACAAGCTATAAAAATCTGCTGTGAGAGGACAACCTCAAAAGAAGTATTTCAAGTACAAATACATGTATCATGGTTTATTTTGCTCTACTGGAGGACTTGGAGAACTGTATGCTCCGCAGGGAGCGCGTTTTCAAAGACCATGCTGATCTGTTCAGTGAGAACAGCAGCATTCTCAGCAGGTACAGCTTCCCCGAAACATTTTAATGGATTTAGGCCGTGATTTACTATGTGTCGGAGCAAGACAAAACGCACCAAAGCCATCCCAGTGCACATCCAGCTCCTGTCCACCCTAACCGGAACATTTCAGCCTGAGATTAAGCAGAATCATGCAGGCAGAGCTGGATGTAAAAATTTCTCTGGCCTAAATTTACATCCAGTTCCCAAACACACATCACCAGCAAGCTGGAATAAAACGAGGATTTCACGCCATCGCCAGATTTCAAATCATAAATGGAGCCATAGATTGCACCCACATCGCAATGAAAGCACCTTCACACAATAAATTCAGATTTGTAAACAGGAAAAGATTTAATTCAATCAATGCACAAATAATCTGCGATGCACATTTGTTTCTGTTAAACGCTGTCTGGAGGAACGCACGACTCATTCATTCTGCAGAACAGCTCTGTGAGTGTGAACCTCCAGAAGGAGGAAAAGAATTCATTCACGCATTTTTAAAAGAGATTGTTGATGCCATATATGGTCAATTGGAGGCGTATCTGAATGCAAATTACCCTAACCACGCACGAGCATGGTAGTAAAGAACAGGTGGGATTTATCATCACCTGTTACTTACTGGTGTGCGTACGACCGGTGTCCGCCTGTTTGATAAATACAGATTTTTTTGTACTTATGCACCTTCTAAATTTCATTCCTACGCCAGAATTTAGAACCTTTTCTACGCATGGTTGATAAATGAGGCCCCAAGAGATTCCTTTCTCCTGGATCCATGCCCTGCTTTGTTTCATTTTGCTCTCTTTTTTTCCTGGAATCAGCTCCTGCAGCATCCTGACCTCCATCTTGTCTCGTCTGGACTGATTTTATTTCAGTGAGAAGAGGAAACTAACTCTCAGATCTGTATGTTTAAAGCCTCTGCACCTGTTTCCCTGTTTTGAAACCCTCCTGATGAGAAACCCACTCTAAATGTAGTCCTGGCTGTTTTTAAAACTTGCATAAGTGCATGTTCACAGTCTGGACAGCCTCGTCTCCGTCCCTTCTGTCCCTGTGTGTGGATGTAGGCCTCCGTCCAGTCACACGTCCTCCTCTAACAAGTCCTGCTGAATTTCACAGTGAATAAATTTGCACCCAGAACAAGGCCCTGCTCTGCTCCAGCCAATTTTTAAAGCTCCTCTCCTCACAGACACCATGTTCTCTCCTCCAAATCTGTATCTCTAAAACACTCTCAGAGATGAGACTTTCAGCAGCTAAATATAAAAGCAGTTTCCTTCAGGGACTTGGCGTGCCACCGGAGTGGAGCCACCCAGAAGAAGAACCCGAGTTTTGGCAGGGACAGGGAGGCCCCTTTGCTGAGACGGCTCCCAGACTTGCGAACGTCATATGGTGGGGAACAGGAGTGACGGACCGCTCCGTGAACGCAGCCATCTGGTTTGGGCTGGAGCAGATTTCAGCTGCGTTCTGGGGGCAAAATAACCCGGAGCATCCAACATGCGGGGGAAAGTTAACAGTATGGGCTCAGCCAAACACTCAAAGAGGAAAAAATTAAAGAGGAGAAAAAAAAGAGAGAGAAGCTGGTGGTAGAAGATGGTGGTGGGCGGCTGGAATAAGAACCTGAACAGGCTTGTGTCATCAGAGGCGGGTTTCCAAATGGCGGGAAGCAAAGTTGTGGTGTTGCTTCCTCACCGGGAACAATAAGTCAACTAGCCGAGCCAGACGGTGGCTTCTCTTCTGCTTTATTCAATTACTGAGGAGAAGAGTGAAACCCTCCAGAGACTGTACACAATGACACATTTACATTTTATGTACCAGTCCAACAGCAAAATAAAGCTGCTGGTTCTACACAGAAACAGTACTGGGGCTGAAAACGTATCTCAATCTGAGCGTCTGTATCTACCACTGATCCCAAACTACACACCACTCCTCCCTGCTCTGCTATCAGCAGCACCAAGGAGGATCAGTCAGTCTGTGATGGCTCTTCATAAAGCTAACATGTCCTGAAGCATGGTCACATAATCCAGATCCAACAGGTACAACAATTTCAGAGCCACACCATGGCGCTCGCTGCAAAGAAATCCTTCACAGAGCCAGAAACATGCTGGGAAACCCAGCCCTTATTATCGTTCTGCAGACACATGAGGTCTTTCTTAAAGGGGACCTGCCATCAAAATTTCTTATCCATTTCAATCATTTTTTCACAATCCTTGATGTCCTCTGATCATGTTTGCAACATAATTTTAGCTGAAAAGTTATTTGATGGTTTGTTTTAGTATGCCTAAAAAACCTTGCAGGAAAACCAACTGATTTTGGCTCATTAACATTTATGGTAATGAGCTTTGCTCTGATTGGATCGCTGCTGTGAAGCCTGCTGTGCTCTGATTGGCTCAGCAGTGGAGGTTCTGATTTCGGTTTATCCATTTTGCTAATGTTTGCTAAAGTAAGGTGACCGGATGTCTGTAATGAAATCCGGGGACATTCGGTGCGGCCTTGGCGGCGGGTGCAGGGGCTGTGTGATCACAGACAACATCTCGGTACTATTTAGTAGCAGTGCATGCCCCTTGTAATAACCCCCGTAAGAACTGTTGTTCAGGACTGCTTACTTGTGCTTCCTAACTATTCGGCTACTGTAATAACTGTTGTTCTAGCCCACACGGAACATTTTTGCTCTCATTCATGAAATGCTTAAATCGGGGACATTTTCGGGGACAGCTTTTGCCGGGGACAGGTCATCCAATTCGGGGACTGTCCCCGGAAATCGGGGATGTCTGTTCACCTTATGCTAAAGGCTAAAAATGGCAGGAAACCATATATTTTTGACCCCTAGTCCAAGTCCGAAGAGGAGGTGGAAGTTGAAGAAGCAGCCGGAGAGCGAAAGAACTAATTTCGGTGCTCCGGCGGTGTTTTCGCATTCATTCTGCCCAGCTTTAAGTTCATTTTCCCGGCAGTGAACCCAAGGAAACACCGGTCGTTTGGAAGAGACCCATAGCAGGTACAGTGGTAGCTGGGTCTTGCTCTGGCTGGAGAGTTATGATGACTGTGAATGAGTACGAGAATGAGAGAGTGGGTGCGGCTCACCGAGGACGCGCTCGTGAATAATAATGAGCAAGGTCAGCTTGACGTCAGAATGACCTGCTTTTTCAATTGGCCTGGTTTACCCGTTCTTTTATTTTAAACCTTTACAGAATGCAAACGACGTAATGGTTTATTTTCACATTTACAACATAAGACAAACATAATATCTGACACACAAACATGCAAAAATTACATTTTTGATGGCAGGTCCCTTTTAAAGGGGAGATATTAAGCAGCCCTATTTTTTCAGCACGTTCTGTCATATTTCTGCTCCTGTGACACCAACACATCCCCGAGAGGATCAATACGGTCTGATCTGATTCACCAAGAGCTGCAGGTTCCTGATTCAGCAGCTCGGCTCTCAGGCAGCAGATATGTTTTTTACTGATATTATGATAAATATTACTGCAATGATCAATTCTGCTTACCCACCAGAGTCCTCTATCAAGTCCTCTGGATTTACTGAAGACTCCATTCATACAGGTTTTCTGTGTCAAAGCTGGATTCTGATTGGGCCTTTTAAGGTCAACTGATCACAGATACAACCTCAGATTAGTTAAATGGGCCAAAGCAATGTTAGATCTATCTTGGACAGTCAGCTAACAACAGAAAGGACTATTTCACTTAAAATAACTCCATTGATCCTCCCAAATTAGTTTCTGGGGGATTGGATCTGAACATCTCTGTGGGACGGAAAAACTCCTGCAGTCTTAGAAACACTCAGTCTGTGTGTCCAGCAGCTTTCAGCCAACAAACTCTGAGTGGATTTTACAGTAATATAGTAAACAAAACAATAAGCATTTGTATATAACAGCAGTTTGGACAGGTCTCTGCCTGTCAGAGGAGGTTTTTCCTCTCCAATGTAACCTCATAAATGCTGAAAAGTTTTTCTCATGGTGGATGAAGATGGATGACTGCCTGGAGTTACCTTTACGTTTGAAACCTCCTCCTCACATTAAACTGCCTCCTACACATCGTACCTCTAGTTTTTATCAAATTTTTTGTAAAGTTTCTGTAATCATAGTTCTGGACTCTGAGGTCACCTTCTCAGAAACACTTGTTTGGTCCTTGTGCGCAGCCTGCGGGTGACTCACATTGTTACAGTAGAAGGTATAGAAGACTCCAGGGACGTAGCAGCCCAGGATGCCGATAGACACACCAGCATAGTCCAGCGCCATCCAGCGGCGGCTGGTCTTCTCTGAGCGGTGGCAGCAGAACAGGTGATAACCCACAGAGCACAGCATGCAGAGCTAAGAGGAGGACAGAGGACAGTCAGGTTTTGAAACACAGAGGAGTGATCAGAGATGACAAACAAAAAATATTGGTGATTTACTGAGAAGTGTCTGAATGCAACCATTTTCAAGCAGCAACATTATTTCTCATTTGGACCTGCAGACTCTTGTGTTAAGCTCAGACCAGCCAACTGCTGGACCCATTATCATTCATTTGTTGAGAGGTACTGCCAATGTTTGGATGAGGTCTGCTGTCCCTCAGATTAAGGTAACACCAGGAAACCACCACACATTCAGCCTCCAAGAGATTTGGCTAATTTATAATCAGCACATTGATGAACACAAGGAGAGACTGAGCTGAAACTAAACCAGGAACACAAACATGATGTTCAATGAAACCTGCTGAGGAAACCTTGGATAAAAATAACAAGAAGAAAATATCCTTCAAACCATCTCTGGATGTTTTTTATTCATTTAACAGCAGAATGAATACAAGTCTGCAGTGCTTTTCAAACTGAGTCCATGGAAAGAAATCTACATTTAAATGGAAATATCAAACTTTTACCACAAAACTCTGGTGAATATTCCAAACATTTAAAAGAGCAGTAAAGTACCGTTTTTACAGTAAATCAAATAAAACTAGACAGATTCACTTATTTGACCAAATTTTAAAAAATAATCAGGAATTTTAAAATTGTTTCCCTACAACATCATCATCATTATTACCAGTGACATATAGTAACACTGCCCTGATTTAAAGTAATGTACAGCAACAACATTGTTATAGTTATGTATCGTAATGTTTCCAATATTTACAGTGACATTACTGTTATTACAGTATAACAGTGAAGTTACTGTTATTTATAGTAGCATACAGTAATGTTACTGTTACTAACAGTAACACACCCTAACGTTACTGTTATTTACAGTAACAATACAGTCATTTAGAGTACCATACAGAAACAATACTGATGTTAACAGTAACACACAGTAATGTTACATACAGTGGTGTACAGTAATGTTACAGATTCATCACGAAAATCCTGATTTACTGTTCTGCTTTTACAGAAAAAATGTGTAAACCAGTTTAAAAATAGGATTAAAAGGTCTGTCGGCAGCAGCTGTTGGGGCTGAATCAAACAAAGACAGGTTATCATACCTGGAAACAGAAAAGTCCGATGGAATAGATGACGTAGTCCTCTCTGGAGGCGCCGACAGTGGGCATCACTGAGGACATGTTGTACACCCCAACACAGAAGAAGAGCAGGAATCCCAGCAGATGGCTCCAGATATTCACTGTCTCATTGGACAGGATGAAGAGGCTGCAGGAAGGAGTTAACACCTTATACACTATCACTTACATGAAAATATATTACTGTTCCTAAAAATCATCTTTAACTACAAACTGAAACATAAAACCTGTAATTCTAAGGTCAGAGTCTACAGTTTCTGTCCACAGACAGCATTTATTTTGTTTCACATGATCACCTGTCTCAGAGAAAACAGAAAGAAACCTGCTGCTGCTCACCTTTTGATACAGAGTCTAGAGGGCAGGTAGGCTCTGTATCCATCTGTGATGTATGGGTTCTCCCTCATGAACACAGGGATCTGTTCATATGTGTACAGCCTGATACCTCGAGGAACCAGCACAGGCCAGTACTGATACCCTCCCAGCTCGATGTAGTGGGAGGTCTGCCCACTCTTTAGAGGTTTCTGAGGCATGGCTGGACCAGAGGAGTCTGATTTAGTCAGACCTAAAGCTGAGAAGGAAGAATCAGAAACACAGCTGACTCAAAGGGTGAAATAACACAACACTGGTATGATAAAAGACTATGGCATGATCATTCCACTAACTCCTTACAGAGTATATGGGTCATTCCATGACAGTGGTGCCTTTTGCGTCCCCAAGAACTAATCATTCATAAAATTATGATAACAACAAATTAATATGTAATTTACAAACATAACATTACCATGTCTTCTCTCCTTTATTATAACATCAAATTAAAGTCAATTAAAAATCATTTTAAATAATATAAATTACTTTTATGCTGATGAGGGTGAGGTTTTTGGCCTGTCCCTCACTACTATTGCTGTACGTATACAGGACTTTTAATTTGTAAGATGTTGGCAAAATGTTAAAATTTTCACATTTACATATTGTTTTAAGTATGATCTTAATGTTAAACAGTGTTTTTGGTAATAATATATGTTAGTCATTGTAAATATTTACCAATTTATTGGCATCCCCTGATTTCATGTCAACCATGTTACCCTAACTAAAAAACCCTAAAAAAATAATAGCACATTCCAGATTTGACATGATTGACAGGAGGTTGCATCCTCTCTGAGCCAGGATACTAACAGCTCAATAACAATTAAGTTTCTCTCATCTCTGATGTGCTATTTTTGATGTTTTTTCAAGGTTTAACCAGGGCGGACAAGCATACAACATCAACCCTGTTACCACTTTTTAACATATAAACCTAAACAATTTTCTATTTCTCAAAATATAATCAATATCTACAAGTAATTACCTTTCAGAGTACCTAGCTTGCACTTAAGCTAGCACCTATTTAAGATAGCCACAGGCAGATTAGCTTAAAATTGTCAACCCTGTTACTGTCAACCCTGTTACCTTTCCACAGTAACAGGATTTGACATGTGAGTAACAGGGATGACATAGAACAGTGTTTACCCTCGTTGTACGCTTTTTGAAGGTTAACCTTTTAAAAATATATATTTTTTTAGGTCATCAAGTGAACATTATTGAGATAATTTTTTGATTGATTGATTGATACACCGGTGGAGAGCCAGTTACTTTGTGTCCAGTTACTGTTACTCTTGTCAGCCCTGTTACCATAACGTCAATCCTGTTGTCATTAATTTGACAAAAATGTAAAAAATGACAACTCAAATTGGCTTTCAACATTAACCATTACAATTTAAATTACATTATATTTTAGATTGGGCCATTTTTCAACATTTCTCCTCTAAAAAATATCTGATATATGGTGAGACATGAAAGCCATGCAAAATTAGGGTATATTTAATCATCTGAATGACAAATATCTAATTGGAGAAAAAAATCCAAAAAATAAAATAATCTAAATGGAAAGAGAGACTAAAGTACTGCTAATATATGTACCATATATTGCATATTTCTAATTAGAAATATTGTATTTTGTTAAGTTTATGTTAGTAACAGGGTTGACAAAATTATGAAAACAGCCAGGAGAGAAACGGTTATAAAATATGAAATAACACAGCCTGAGATGACACAAAATCATTTCCTGCGATTTTAAACATTCTTTCATTTCTGGGTACTTAAAAATTAACACTTAAATATAGTTTAAATTTTAAATTTTCTAAGCTGAAAGGGCACTGATTTCATGGAATAACCCATATATCATAGTTTCATAAGAGCTGCTAAGCTGAAAAAACAGATCAAACAGGTCAAAGGTTCTCATAGAGGAACAACCAAACAGGTCAAAAGTTTTTATAGAGGAACAGCAAAACAGGTCAAGAGTTCTTATTGAAGAACAATCAAATAGGTTAAATTTGTAACAGAGAAACAGCCAAACAGGTAAAAACATGTGCAATGCCAAAAAAAGCCTGGAGGAACATTTCCAACTCATGAGGTTAATTTCCAACAGGTAAGTAACATGACTGAATATAAAGAAGACATTGATAGAGGCTGAGTCTCAGGCACTGAAGGCAAGATAGGACATGGTTCACCTCTTTGAGAGACTGTGTGAACTAATAGATGTGAAAGAATGATTCAAGTTTGTCATCTACAGTACACAATATCCTTCAAATATTCAGAGAATATGAAGAAATCTCCGTACTAAAGGGCCAAGGACCCGTACCATGACTGGATGGTCCTGATCCCACGTCCTCAGGCAGCACTGCACTAAAAACAGACAGGACCCTGGAGTGGAAACGACTGCATGGTACTTTTTTGGGTGATTTTGAGCTCATGGTTTTGAGCTCAAACATTAGAGGCTCCTCTGGACCTGAGCCCATTTAAGGTGGACTAAAACTACTAAAATCATCTCAGGAAAGAAAAAAAAACTGTGACTGTCCGATCAGGGCTAGTAGCAGATTTTAAGTACTTATAATGGAGTCTCAAGACCGATTTACCAAACAATAACATTATACAGCTCAAATATCCCTCTTTAAACCGTCTCCCTATGGAGAAACCGTTGAATTAAGAAGCGACGAGGAGCTGAACAACAACCACTAAAGTTGTGATTTTGTTGACATTACAGTCTTTATCTTAAGGTTTTTATGAGCCGAATTTATTCAATTAGCCTTCTGGTCAATAAACCCCTTTACTATGCCTGTTCTAAGAAAACTTTTAGCCGTAAACAAAAGTGAGTCTTAATCTAAGAGATGTTTAACAGGAGTTTGGTTAGCGGGGCTAATTACAGCGCATTCGTATTAACAGGCTAACATGCCGCTTTGTTCAGGAGACGAGCAGAATGAAATCACACTCACCTTTTAATTTGGTGGTTGATCAGTTGGAGCCATCCTGAGGCTTGGAATGCGAACTTCTCATCGGTAAACATGAGCAAACAGTAATTTCTCAAAACAACGATAATACTTAACGAAGTTTAAGCTACAGTTTCCAAATCATAGACATAATATACGTAGACGTCTCATTGACTGGCACTGGCGCTGAGTTATCTGCGCGGCCACCATCTTCGATGGGTCCCCTATGAGCTCCCAGTACATTTACTTCTGTTGAGGAAGGGAGGTATGCTCAACTATACAAATCTAAACTCTCCGAATTTTTGCCCGATTTTCACACGGTTTTATTTTTCACAACCAGCAGATATATATATATATATATATATATATATCTAAAGAGTGGGCAGACCTCCCACTAGTAGTCTTATCTTTTTTGTGACCGGTTGTTGCAACTGTAGGCTGCACAAATGACCGCATATTGGCCGTTCCCTGTTAACTCCGGTTAGCTCTATTGCGCAAAGATATCAACATTAGATCCATCACGACACATATAAGACAAGGCCAGCGAATACGTCAATGCCGCCGCCCTCTTGGAGGCATCCAGCCATATATGATATCTATGCTGGGGCGAGCCTAACGTAAGGAGACCCATCCAATGTGGCGGCGGCGGCGATGCTGGATTATGCTCCAACACGTAATGAGACGTCTACGTATATTATCGCTAGGTTTCTACTCACTAGTGACGTCAGCAGAGAATGGACCCGTGAGTATGTCCGTGGACTGCCTAAGAAAAAACAACACGACCAGATTTTGCCAGATCAAGGCCATATACTCTCGCTTTCTCTCTCTCTCGCGTTCTCTCTCTCTTTCTGTAATAAAGAGTAGACCCCGCATCGGCCGCTACCACGAATGGGTGCTGTCGAGAAATGCGGCCGCCGTCTTGGTCCGGTCATCCGCCTCACTCTGCACCGCTCTTTAACCGGCGGAATGAAGTTTCAGCGCATTAAATGAATCATAGTTCGCTCAATACTACGCAATTTTTTTCTCTGCAAACGTCATTCAAAGAGGCATGATAGAGGCCATATTTTTTTTTTTGGCGTTTTCAAATACTCAGAATGAATAAAATGATACTTTAGAACATGGCAGCAGTGGCTGTCGTATAATATAATAATTAATCAAGGATATATCGAGGTTTAGAGCTAGGTTCCTGCTACGTCTCAATAATTATTAATAACTGGCGGTTTTAATAGGCTAATTCAATATATATTGATTTGATTATATTTTATTTAGTTTATTTTATTTATCCATTTGTAGATACACACAAATAATGTCATATAGAAGCACTATTTTAATAATTGGAAAATACACATAAAGAAATACACACAAATATATAGCCTACATATCAAAAAAATTGCACACTTTCAATTTAAACACAAGAACAGCATGACAGGACAGCACCTAAACTACATATCAATCAATCAATCAATATGCTCAGGCCCTAAAAGCCTTGAAAGAGGACTGCTTTGGTGTTTTTTTCCTAGTGCTCCCTTTCTGCAGCTTCAGAGAGGTGAATTTCTCCCTCCTTACAGCAATCTCCCACTTCTTCCTCAATTTTTTTGTCCTTAGGAAATCTTCATAATGAAACAGGAGATCACCACAAAGAAATCTTTAATAAAACAGATAATAAAACAGAGCTCACTTTCTTCCTTCTTCTTTCTATTTTATTTCTTAACGTTTCTTAGAACCTCTCTCAAAAAAAAGTTTTTCAATCTAATGCCAATCTGTTGATAATAGAGCAAAGTTGCTATTATTGTGAATAAGCCAGCTGTTTGCAAATGCTGTTTCCTTTTTGGAGTTGACCGATAGTCTTCCTCCTTGGCCTCCAAATGACTCTACAGTCAAGTGTAATGTTGAAAAAACGTTTAATCCTACCTGTGAAAAGTTATCCCTTGAGCCCTGTTCTCTACTGTCCGCCTGTTGGCACAGGAATACGCTGCACAGTGCTCCGGCATCGCTGAATGAATAAATGAATGAATATGACTGACCGGAGCGTATGGGAAGCTTGACCGGACCAAGATGGCAGCCATATTTCTCGCTGCGCAGCACTCCCAGCGGCGTCTACTCTTTATTATGTCTATGGATCAAGGCGACCAGAACCAGAAATAAATGGTACTTCAAAGACTATGGTTGTTATTTAAGTCAGTCTCAAAAACCAACTCCTTCTTTTTCCTTCTACTCATAAGAAGCGATCCTTTCCAGCCAGCAAAATAAATGATAAGCAAGTAAATTAATCAAGGTGTAATTCAAAGTAGTATTTAAAGTCACAGTGCAATACATAGTCACAGTGTGTAGTAATAAAAGTTGCTGCATGTAGTATTTAAAGGACTAAAGCGCAGGGTGACCATTTTCTGAATCCCCAAAAAGAGGACATTACTACATGGAGCGGAGTTGCACGTGCACATGGACGTGCAAAATTTGGATGATTTTTCGGGTCAGGTGGGATGTTTTTTACATTCTTCTTACTCAGTTAAACATTTATTCTGAAATAACAAAAGGACACTTAAAGTTAGGGTAGGCAGGATCTGAGTGTGCCAGTTTTGGGAAGAAATCTTGAATGTAAACACTACCCCACCCAATCAGTTTTCCCCTCAGCTCCTCCTCTCCCCTCTGTCTCTGCTCCAGCAAACCCCACCCACAAAAGACACCCCTGTTCACTCGTATCGTTCCAATTAAATTCAGATACAATGCAGGTAAATACTTAAGATAATTACAAATGGAGCCCAGTCAACATGAAAGTAAATAGCATTCAGGCATGAAAATGGGTCAGGGGTTGAAAAGGTGAGAAGGGTGAACTACGTTCCAGTACACTGTACAACCCAACAAAATATTGAGCTCTGTCCACCCACACTGTGTTTCAGTGACACTCCAAGTCTCCCTCTCTCTCTCTCTCTCTCTCTCTCTCTCTCTCTCTCTCTCTCACACACACACACACACACACACACACACACACACACACACATCACATGCATCTTGTGCTGGCCATGTTTTATTTAGAAACAAAGTTTACTTTGCTAAATGAGTTAGATGAGTCTGAGAGAGGTGTTCAAAACTGTTTGTACAAGGCCATATGAACAATAATAATTTAAAGAGAAAAACAAAACAGAATAAAAAAAATAAAGACTTAATATCCTGCACTTTAGATCAATGTATGCCCTGCCAGACTGGAGAACAATACATGCAATTCCAATAGATCCAATACCAAGTCCAATTGATCACTTTTTCTTTTTTCTTTTTGCCTGGGCCGCCACAGTCTCCATGGCCTTTTACGCTGAGTGGCCACATGCCTCAGCCTTGCCTGCTTCTCACTTTTAGCAGCCTGCTTCTTTGCCTGCTGAGCACTCCCAGTTTCTTGACAGCCATATAAAAATAATAGCAACATAGCGATTTACACAACAGCTTTAGTAGCTTGTGGTCTAAACACACGGCAAGCCTTTCGTGACACACTCTTCCCTGTTGTCTTCTCTCACGCTAATGTCGCGCTGAAGAAAAATTGTCACCGGATGGAGCCAGAGCAGTAAACGCGAGACGCCCGCTTTCGCTATTATAACAGCTTTCCAATGCTGTTACTTGTGGCGAACACCTTTTTGCTTGAGTTGACGCGTGCCCGTATGTGGAATAATGTCACATGTCACACCGTCCATATCTTCTGTTTTTTTTTATTTATTTACTCATTCATTATTTGATGTAAGACAAGACACAAAACCACTTGACACGGTCAAAAAACTGTTCGGCTTCCCAGGTGTGCGCACCTGTCCTAATCAACCCACCCATTAAATAGACAGGCACAATAGCACCATCTGTTGGCAAAAAAAATACATAACAATAAACTGAAAAACCCCAATCTGGCTCCTACAGCTATTTTAGATGACTCAAAACCATTACGTTTTAATGAATCAATGAATAACATTAGCAGCAAAAAGGAGCGTTAAAAAGACCTGGGTTCACATGTTTTTATTTTGTCACAAAAGGCATCAAGCATGGGCCAAAGCATAGGACAAGTTCTAGAATTTACCACTTCACCTTCAGCCTTTTCAGCCCCTCACCCGAATATTATCCTCACACGTCCCCGAAATACCAATTACAGAGATATTAGAAAGAAGCTTGTGTTTCTTCTTTTATGTTACCATTAACTACACAAGCTTGACGCTAACTTAATATCAAGCAAACGGGAGCTATTTTTTCACTGGAGGTTTGGCTAGCTCTGGCAGTGTTCAACGCAAGCTGTAGCGAACGGCAGTAATTTGTTATACCACAAAATATGAAAACGATTGAAACCATTTCTCACCAAATTCAATCTGCTGGTAAATGCAGGTAAATGTATATGCTACACTCTGGTCTGCCTTATCCCGGGTGTTGTGCCGTAGAATGCATCCCTGCATCCCATCCACTCATTAGCTTCTTAAGTGGAAGAAAATGAGCTCATAATTTACAAAGACACGAGTATTTGGATCATGACTACTAGCAAACTTCCGTTCTGTTTTAATGTGTCTCCAAAATGCACATATTGAGGTGTACTTGGGTATATAAACTGTACAGTAAGACATCAAGGTAGAAAACAATATACTTTCAGGACAGCAAATATTCTGGATCAGAGGGCTGTTGTTTTCGGCTAATCTGAATAACCTGAATGAAATCATTAAAAGCACACGCTTTTGAATCCGTCCAACGGTAAGGAAAACTTGGATTATTTTGCCTTGTTATGTACTTTTAACCGCGCTCCCGTTAGGGGGGGCATTCTACGGCAGGGGTGCATTCTACGACACAACACCGGCGTAGATAAGTCCTGCTTCTCGTTCTCGCAGCTTTGCAATGCTACCACAGGCTCTGCAAGCACTCCAAGTACACGTGAAGAGTGTGCGCATGATTGGAATAATGCAACGCAGTTTGGCCTATGATTGGTTCTCGTCAGCGAAGCAGCCAGGAGGATTTCCTGACCGTCCAAGTGTCATTTTAAAGGGCCGAATTCTGAAGTGCTCAGTTTGCATATTAAGTCAATCACATGATAATAAAAACAAAAAATCTCCCGGTCTTCCTCCAGAGTCTTTGGTATTTAGTTCGTTTTCTTGCTTGTGTTGGTGGTTGTGGCTAAAGAAGGATTCAGACAATTTTCTGTACTTTCTGATTGGTTTCTACTGTCTGATATTATGGCATGCTAACTTTGTTTGGGCTCCTGAACGACATGGGGGAGCAGTGTCTGCCTCACAACATGAGGGAGCAGCATCCAACCAATCAGCACTAAGGAGCAGCGCCCGCCTCACAACAAATCAGGAAGGGGGAGGCGGGGAATGGCTTTGTTTACAGTCAGCGCTCTGTAATTTTAAAATGTTGACTACACAGACATAACAAAACACAGTGATATCGTGATATTCCCAAAGGTCATCAATAACTAATAGGTGTTGACTGATATTTAAAGCTTTTTAGTATATACACCACAGAAAAAGATGCTTCTTTAACAGATTCCTGCCTACCCCACCTTTAACCAGGCCTCTTGGAGATACTGAAAAATACTCAAAGTTACATTCATAAACAATATATTATCTAAAGCATTCCTCCTTAACAAAATTATCAGTCACATACAAATATTTCTCCCTTTACTTTCGCTCACTGGCTGATAGTGCATGCATGCGTCACGTCAGTGGCTCTGCTTAGAACTGAGCAGAGGGGCAGAGCAGCAGAGAGCACTGATGCGCTGCTCTGTTTTATAATGAATGATGAAAGAATTTCATAATCAGCGTGGAACTCCGCCTCTCAGCGTGTGTTTCAAAAATCAACTATTGAACGTGTATGATAAATAAAATGGTCTGTGATGCAAAGATATACACACTACACAAACTCAAAACTATGGAAGTCTGTTTCCGCCAGTGAAAAAAAATTGGGCTTCCATACAAAACCCTGGACATTTGAGGGATTTTATAAACTCCCCCCGCACAGGCCGGACAGCCCCCCAAAAGAGGACATGTCCAGGTAAAAGAGGACCAATGGTCACCCTACTAGAGTGTAATATTTAAAGTTATAGACGGGTTTCTGTGCAATGTCATTGCAGGTATGTGCGGGCAGCCTTGGGGCAGAAAGCGGGACATTTCTTATTTGTTTACTAGCAGAGTCAACGAAGAAAGAAAATGACAAGGAGCTGTTGTGCTGTGAACTGCACGAATCAGCAAAACAATTGGCAAACATTACGACCCTGCTTCTGACATTAGAAACATCTAATAAAACAAAACAACCTGGTAAACTGAGTGAAATTCATGGATATAACAGCAAGCGTTTTTCTGATTTTGATGCAATCAAAGACAGAGCGATTTTTCAATGAAATGACATTTTATTACCTCCGCCAAGGAGGGTATGTTTTCAGTAGCGTTGGTTTGTTTGTTTGTCTGTTAGCAACTTTACAGAGAAAGTTACGGACGGATTGACCTGAAATTTTCACCAGAGGTGCGTCTCAGCCCCAGGAGGATCCCATTACATTTTGGTGGTGATCCGGATCGCCTTCTGGATCCAGGAATTTTTTGAAGGATTCTTTATCATTGTGAGATAGGGCAAATATTGGAATTTTTGCATTTAACTCTATAAAAGTGGCTAGAGTCGGCACAGTGGTGTAGATTGGCGGCACAGTGGTGTAGTGGTTAGCACTGTCGCCTCACAGCAAGAAGGTCCTGGGTTTGAATCCGGGTCAGGGCATTTCTGTGTGGAGTTTGCATGTTCTCCCTGTGTCTGCGTGGGTTTACCCCAGGTACTCCGTTTTCCTCCCACGTCCCAAAATCATGCCTAAGTGGGGTTAGGTTAATTGGCCACTTCCAAATTGCCCAAAGGTGTGAATGTGAGCGTGGATGGTTGTTTGTCTCTATATGTCAGCCCTGCAATGAACTGGCGATTTGTCCAGGGTGTCCCCTGCCTTCACACAAAGATGCTGGGATAGGCTCCAGCCCCCCCGCGACCCTGGGAACCGGAATAAGCTGTAGAAAATTAAAATGGAAAGATAACCAATGAAGATACAAGGAAGTGTACACTTACAAATATTGCATAATAAATCATGCATTTATGTATCTAATATGAGCTTTGTTGTTTTAGGAACATTATGAACAGTGAACATACCAGTTTAAACACAAGTAAAAGTTAATAAAATACACGTAACAGTAAAAGTTTTGGTGTGACCTGAAATTTTCACCAGAGGTGCATCTCAGCCCCAGGAGGATCCCATTACATTTTGGTGGTGATCCGGATCGCCGTCTGGATCCAGGAATTTTTTGAAGGGTTCTTTATCATTGTGAGATAGGTTAAATTTTGGAATTTTTGCATTTAATTCTATAAAAATGGCCAGAGTCTTTAGTAAAAAAATTACACAAAAGGATCTCAATGAGTTTTATGAGGTGTCAAAGGTTGATCCTGATCCAGACAAAATTCCGGATACTGTGAGCTGCTTGCGCTCTCAGAGTGCTTTTCTAGTTGCAATTGTGTCAGAGAGAACTTGCAAACAATATGGCATCTTGACCAATCATTTCATTCGGTCCGAATGTTAAGAACCAATCAGATGCCTTCATGTCTTGCTCTGCACTGCCCGCTCCCCTCTACCCTCCACCCCACCCTCCTCACCCGTGGGCACACGCATGGCTTTGCTGTTGCCGCAGATAGCAAGAACACTCCTCTGCCTAAATACCTTGTTAGCTAGAGAATATGTGAGCATTTTACAATGGCAGAAACAAAGCAGCCTCAAACACAAGTTCCAGCGGTACCCGTGATAGCTCAGCTGGCTACACAGCCAAAGAAGATAAAGATAGAGGCTGTGACGAAGAAGGCTCTGGATAAAGCAAGAGGACAAACCAGAGACAACATCAGGGCAGCCTTTGAGCGGTGGAGACAACAGAGCAGTTGCTTTGTTTCTGTTGGAAGGGTAATTATTTGTCTTGCTTTGGTGGATCTGGTGGATTTCCGAAAAAATGTAATGTTCCCCAGTTTAGCTACTTTTGTAGCACGTATTAGCCCGATGCCAACGTTAGTTTTTCTCTGCTTTTAAGCTGTCGTAGCGGCTGCTATACGGTTGCTGCTGTATTGAAGATTTCCCTTACAGTCGGTTCACTCAGTACAACACATATAGTATGGGATATTATGCCCCCGTGTCTCCTGACTGAAGACACCTTTATTTACGCCTATATGGCAGATGATCTGTGGTGATGTCTGGGAGGCTCCACCTGCACATATATATGTGTAACATTACAGTCCTCCTTCAGTTCTTACGCTCTTCACCTCGCTGAGAACACCTCCACTGAGTTGGGCTAACTAGCTGCTGCTAGCTTAGCTTGGTCTTGGCTGTGGCTGTTGCCTGATTGATCTTAGCTCAACTGCCCCTGTTTGTGTTGGCCTGCGGCTACCCGCGGAGCGCTAATTTTGTTCAGCTTCTGTGTCTTGTTATGAGCGCTGAGCCTAAGAAAGTGAAGGCGAAGTCTTCTGTTTGCCCCTGTCCTCAGGGGTGTGGCTTCTTCCTTCATGAGAAAGAGCTCCATGAGGCTTGCCCTGTTTGCCTGGGGGTTGTCCACGCCAGGAGGGCGCTGACTGAGCCCAAGTCGTGTGAGTCCTGTCGCCGGCTTTGGAGCTCAAACCTGGAAAGGCAAGTCAAGTTTGTGGAGTGAATATTAGGAAAGACTGCTATTGCGCTGCACGATCCCCTCCTCTCCGAGTCCAGGGAGCACCCGAACCGACTACTGTTAAGAACAGTTTGCCTATGTTCCCGGATTTTGTTGCGGAACTAACTTCAACATGGAGCAAGCTGCTGTCCACCCGCGCCACAGTGCCCGATTGTGGACAGTTTCTGGACCTGGATGGAGCTGAAAAAGCTGGTTTGGTGAACCCTTCGCCTATGGAGGCGTCCCTGGCAGCCTATCTGGCCCCGGCGCGCTCCCATCCAAGCACTGCAGGTTTTCAGCGTCACAGCTGGACAAGATTTACAGGACACAGGCAAGTGCGGCTTGTGCACTGAGCTCTGTCACCATGCTTCAGACATATCAAGCCATGTGTCTGGTAGAACTTGGCTCATGTATGCCTCCTGACATTTTGCTTTCTCCTCTCCTCAATGAAGTTAGAGTCGCCACAGATTACATTCTCCGTGTGTCCCGCTTTGCAGCGCTCTCTCTAGGTAGAGGCATGGCCTCCACAGTGGTGGCGCAGAGGCACCTGTGGCTGACTCTGTCCGACGTTCTGGAGAGGGACAGAGCAGTTTATCTTGACGAGCCTGTGTTGGCCAGCAGTTTGTTTGGGCAGTCCCTCAACGCCATTCAGGCTAAGTTCGAGCTGAGGAAGAAACAAACCAAAGCTTTGAGCAGCATCATCCCCAGACGTCACCGGCGCCTCCTCCCAAGAGGACTGTAGCGCCTGCTAGTTTTGGGCCCCAGCTGGTGAAGCAGCATGTACCCGGTCAGAACCCACGCCCCTCGGTCCGCCACCAGGCCTCCAGAAGGGCCCAGTGCCCAGGAGGAAGAAGCAGCAGTCATCCAAGCTTTGGGATCCATTCGAGAGGGGCCCAAAAGCACGGAGACACTTCCGCCCTTCAGTTTTTGCCACCAAAGAGGCCATGTTTAAAGTTTATTCAGGGGTCCGGTCCCGAGAGGTGCTGCAATCCCCTAACACAGTCTCCCAAGCACAAAACCTCGCTCACACACACGCCCCAATAATGGCGTCTGTTATTCACTGTGTGAATGTTACAAATGTGCATTTGTCGAGTCAAATAAAGGTTTTGTTTTGTTCTCAAAACATCATAAATCAGTCAAGTCTAGGCGGGAAAGTGTTGCTGTTCTCTGCTGGCCGCTAGAGGGCAACAACCCCTCCCCCACAGTGCTGGAGGTCAGTCGACTGACTGTTCATCTCCCTCTGTGGCACGCGTGTGCAGTCTCACCATGGGTAGAGACAACTGTTGCCATGGACTACCGCTTACAAATCAGGGCCCGGCCGCCTCGCTTCCACTCTGTAATACACACAGTTGTAGCAGAAGAAGCAGCAGCAGTGCTGAGGGAAGAAATAAACAACTTGTTGAACAAGAGAGCGATACGAGTTGTTCCCACTTCGGAAACGAACAAAGGCTGATACAGCTGCTATTTCATTGTTCAGTAAAGAGAAAGGAGGGCTCTGTCCTATTCTAGACTTGTGAGTGTTAAACGAATACCTACGAGTTACAGGTTCAAGATGCTTACACTCAGACAGCTACTGGGCGTGACCAGACCGGGAGATTGGTTTACAACTATCGATCTGACAGATGCTTACTTTCATGTAGCGAATCATCAGGACTACAGGCAGTTTCTAAGGTTTGCATTAGAGGGCATAGCCTACGAATTACCTGGTGCTGCCATTTGGCTTATCACTCGCCCCCTGAACATTCACCAAATGGGTCGAGGTGGCATTGGCTCCGCTACGGGAGAAAGGTGTTCACATCTTAGCCTGACAATTGGGCACTAATTGCGAGCTCCAGAGAGCGAGCAGCGGCTCAACTGTCATTCACCCTACCGCACATCCAAACACTGGGCTTTTCAGTAAATTTACATAAAGTTCACTGACTCCGAGTCAACAGGTATCATTTCTCGGGCTGGAAATATGCTCCGTTTCAAGCTGAGCACTTCCGTCAGAATGCAGGGTGGCTGCGTTTCGCTGCTATCTTGCACAATTTCAGTTGGGACGCAAACTGTATTTCTGGACGATTTTACAGCTGGCAGGCATGATGGCATCCATGATCGCTGTAGTGCTGCTCAAACACTGGACTCAGCTGAGGAGGCTGACGATAACTCCATCTTGCATGTCAGCTCTTCTCCCGTGGAGAGAACAAGGGCGCAGCAGTGAGAGGGGTGTGGACGCTAGGACAACGCAAGCGCCTAATCAATTACCTTGAGCTATTAGCTACCCTTTTAGCTCTGAAGCATTTTTGTCCCGTTCTGATATATATATATATATATATATATATATATATATATATATATATTACTGCCTTTTACTTTTCTTTCTTCTTATTCTTACCTTATCTTTGTGTTTTAAATGGCTTTCATTTTAGCATTTATTTATTACTTTTGCTATGCACCAAATGGTGTGGCGCTCAAATTTCGTTGTACTGAGTACAATGACAATAAATCAAACTTTATTTATATAGCACTTTTCAGGCAAAAAGAAATGCAGCACAAAGTGATTTACAATTTAAAACAAAGACCCCCCCCATATCCAGCCCGCCACCCCACCCCCCAACCCTCACTGAGAGCCCACCCCAAACACACACACACACACACACACACACACACACACACAGATAATGCAATCTTAAAAGCGTGTGGCTGAGTACAGAGGAGCCAAGTCAGGAAACATCAGGAGGCCGACTGCACTGGAGGCTGCTCACAGCCCAGGGCCAGGACACCTCCACCCGGGTGCGCACCCCGCTACAGGCAAGCGAAGGGCCCACAGCAGCAGGCACTGCTGCAGACAACCACCTGGCCGAGCTAAGCGCACACCACGAGGCAGAGAAACCCTGGACAGAGCCAGTCACAGCCTCCAGTGCAGGTGGCCCCCACTGAGGAAACACTGGAGAAAGGCAAAAAAACATTAACTAAATCAGCTAAAAACATCAAACTAGATAAAATTATAAAATACTGATTAATAACTAAAATACCATTTAAAAATAAGTGAACAAATAGAATAAACATAAAATGTAAAATGAGGACTGAAATATATAAATGAAATAAAATAAGATAGAAATAGGATAAAAATATAGATTACAAAATAAGACATTAGTTAAAAGCCAAATTAAATAGGTGGATCTTGAGCCTGCTTTTAAAAATATGAACATTCTCTGCGGCCCTAAGGTCCAGGCTATTCCAAAGACGGGGGCCATAGTGCTGAAAAGGTGCCTCACCGTAAGTTCGTGTTCTCACTTTGGGGACTATTAAAAGGCCAGTGCCAGAGGATCTCAGGGTCCGCGAGGGTTCATATTTTAAAAGCAATTCTGAAAGATAAGAAGGTCCAAGACCCCTAAGACATTTAAAAACCATTAAAAGGACCTTAAAATCAATCCTAAAGCACACAGGGAGCCAATGCAGTGATTTTAAAACCGGTGTAATGTGTGACCGCCTTCTGGTCTTTGTCAGCACACGTGCTGCTGAGTTTTGCAACGGTTGTAGACTTGAGATGTTTCTTTTTGGAAGACCAGAAAGCAGGGCGTTACAATAGTCAAGACGACTGGAGATCAAAGCATGCATTAGCGTCTCTGTGTTAGCCCAGGAGAGAAAGGGGCGGACTCTGGCTATATTCTTTAAATGATAAAACCCTGTTTTTGTTATATTTTTAATATGTGCGATAAAAGTCAGCTCAGAGTCAAAGATGACGCCCAGATTCTTTACCTGGTTTGATGGAATTAAAGACAGGGTTTTCAGTTTTGAAAAAAGTTTCTCTCCCTGAGCCTTAGGATCGATAATAGAAACCTCAGTTTTGTCCTGGTTGAGCTGTAGGAAGTTTTCTGCCATCCAGGATTAATGTCTAGGATACAGCTAAAAAGGGCATCAATTGGCCCTGTGTCATCAGGAGACATGGATATGTAGAGCTGTGTGTCATCAGCATAGCTGTGAAAAGTGATACCATGCCTCCTGATGACATCTCCCAGTGGGAGCATATATAAATTAAAAAGTATGGGGCCTAAAATTGAGCCTTGGGGCACACCACATTTAATGCTATGAATCTTTGAAGAGCATGTGTCCAAATGTACAAGAAACTTTCGATCTGTGAGATAGGAGTTAAACCATTGAAAGGCAGTACCAGAGAGGCCTACAAGGTGCCTTAGTCTATTTAAAAGAATTGTGTGATCTACTGTATCAAAAGCAGCGCTTAGATCCAGTAGCACAAGGACTGTAAGCTTGTGTGAGTTCAAGATGCACCTAAGATCATGCAGTCTCGGTACTGTGGTTCGTCCTAAATCCAGATTGAAATTTCTCATGGATGGAATGGTTATTTAAAAAATCATTCAACTGAATAAAAACAAGTTTTGCTAAAATTTTGCTTAAAAATGGTAAGTTGGACACTGGTCTGTAGTTATTAAGAACATTAGGATCCAAATTGTTCTTCTTCAGAGCGGGTCTCACTACTGCTGTTTTAAGGGCAGCAGGGAAAGAGCCTGTCTGAAGAGAACAATTCACTATATCTAAAAGCTTGCCTTCAAAGAATCCATAAAACATTTTAAAAAGTGATGTGGGAATTGGGTCTAAAAGGCAGGTTGTTGGTTTTACTTGGGAGAAAACTCTACCAAGCATCTCAGCATCAACCAGGACAAAACTGTCCAGTGTTTCCTCAGGTAAAAACAAGCTTCCCACTGTATTAGAAACATTTTTTTGAATAGATAAAATAGAGGATCATATAAAATCAATTTTACCCCTGAAGTGGTCTGCAAAACCTTCACAAAGTGTGTCTGAAGGAGTGATTTGATATCTGTTAAAAACCAGGTTGATTAAAAGATCAATTGTAGCAAAGAGGATTTTAGGGTTATTTTTATGATCCGTGATTATGTTCATGAAATAGGTGGATCTTGTGTGTCTGAGAGCTTTATTGTACATTTTCAGTTGCTCACAGTATATTTGATGATTAATTGTGATTTTATTTTTCCTCCATCTCCGCTCAGCTACCCTGCAATTTCTTTTCAGTTTTTTGATTTCCTCATTTCTCCATGGCGGTGTGCGCTTAGGCAGTACCTTTTTTGTTTTCAGTGGAGCTACGAGTTTCAAGTTTGTTGATAAAATGTTGAACAATAAAATCACAGGATGCAGGTAGAGTAGCTGAGGGATGCTTGCTCATGATCTCGATAAAATTTACAGCCACTTCTGACGTAGCGTTTCCTGACAGTTCGCACTGAGGTCTCCCGCTGAATAAAACTGGTGATATTAAAAAACACACAATAATGGTCTGACACAGCCAGGTCAACAACAAAGGACACACTGGCTGACAGGCCATAGCTGAGGACTAGATTCAAGGTGTGTCCTCTGTGGTGAGTCGGCTGTGTGACGTGTTGTGTAAAATCCAAGCAATTAAGTAGATTTAAAAACTCTTTTGCCATTGAATCAAATGGATTGTCTATGTGTAAATTAAAATCACCAAATCACCAGATATAATAATAAAATTGTAAGTGGCATGGATTATTGCTAAAAATTCAGAAAATTCACTGATAAAAGCAACATCATGTTTTGGTGGTCTGTAAACAGTTATACAAAGAATTGAGGGACTGTTAAACAACTGCATGATGTTCAAAGGTGGTGTACTGATCAAATTGTATTTCATTTGTCCTTCGTAAGTTGTTGATTATTGATGCAGTACCACCACCTTTCCTGCCACTTCTAAGAGAGAACGTAAAGTTAAAATTAGGTGGGGAGGCCTCAGTGAGAATAACTGGCGCATCTGTACCCAGCCACGTTTCAGTTAAAAGCAGACAATCACCCACCTTGTTGTCTAAAATCAGGTCATGGACAATAAAAGATTTGTTTAAAAGAGAGCGATAGAAAATGTCTATCGTGCCATTTCTATTTTTATCGTTTCGAGCGATAGGCTGTATTTTATCCATAGGGCTTGTGCCATCAGATGATTCATAGTAACAACAACAATAATTGCACATTCAGTAAGTGTATTTGGTGTCAGACGGGAAAGAAAACAATATTTTCTTACAAAGAAAAGGATGCATTGACATGTAGGCTCGCATTTCTCTTTCGATTTTGCGACATGACGCCGCTTTACGTGCCCTCTTCGTGTCCAGCATCTCCCGCCGTCGCGGGTTTCCTGGGTTACACACGTGAGGTGATCATTGTAAGCAGTGCTTAATTTGTGCCGGAGCAAGCCGGAGCGCGCTCCGGGACCTCTTTTGATCGGATCTGGGACCTATTTCAGCCACTCCGGCACCTTTTTCATCTGCTCCGGGACCTTCCCTGTAGAGGAGAATTTTTCGGGAATTCCCGTGGGTCACGTGATTCCCGCGGGAATCCCACGGGATGGGAGTCATTATTTAATTAATGCCTTGATCAGGACGGGACGGGAAAAAAAGCAACGGGAGTGGGCAGGAGCGGGAACAACATTAATAGATGATCATTTTCAGCCGTGTTAAACAACCTGATGAACAGGTTCGTCCATTTTTGTAGTCATCTCTCAGTGAGAGCCAACACTCTTGACCGCGCTAGCAACACAAAAGAACTACAACAGTGGTTTGACTTCCTGTCAGCTGGGAGCGCGGCTGCGCATTTCTACCCTTCAAGCCAGGAGTGAGGAAACGTAATTTTGTGACATTCTGTAGTTTTTCAATCATTTCTGGAGTTGTGGCGAATCAAATCACCTTACCTGTCTGCCCCTGATAGGCGAATAAAGCGCTCGGATTCATGCTCGGGTCTTGCTACATGCTTCAAGAGTAAAGTAAACAGCGATGGAGGCAGAGAGCAGCTTTGGAGGAGAAACATCCAGCAGTGTGAACAACCTCTTCAAAAGAGCCCTAAAGACCTACTTTTTTAATAAAGCCTTTGGTTAGCTTTCCTCTATGCTTTTACTACCTTGCCTCTTACATTGCAACTCTATATTCTTTATTTTTTTTATTCTTTTATGCTTTTTTTATGCCAATCTGTGACTGTCATTCTATTGCTTCTTTTTTTATTGTTGCTGCTCTTTTTTTACTGTGTACTGTAGCACTTTGAGATTTTTTGTAAATGTAAAGTGCATTACAAATTAAATTTATTATTATTATTATTGTTATTATGGAGTGCTTTGGCTCACACTATCGGCGTATTCTGTGAGTGTTGCATAACTTTGGGTGAGCACAGACATGAACGCACTTCAGCCACGTATTTATTTATTCATTTTTCTAGTTTTAAGTGCTGGTCTTGTACTGGCACTGCACTAGGGCAGCTGTATACACTTTAATTTTTCATAGAACTGAAAGCATACCATAGCTATATCGTGGTA